TTTGACCCCTGGTAAATCAACAGGAAGATAATGTGCCCTTGGGCTTTTTGATAGTGTAAAAGGGAGTTGAGGCTAAAGTTATCAAGATCTGGACAACTGGCGGGCACTAAGTTTGGCTGCACTGGCCCTGTGCTTTGCTGTGACAGGCTTGAGAGATCCATTCTGTGTGTCTTGTGGGCATCAGGAGAGGGCATCACATCTTGGAACCAAGGCTCGTGTGGGGTGAAGGGTCTGGATGGACTTAGAGCCTCTGTTGTGGGTGGGATAGCACAGCTTTGGTTCTTTAGGAAAACAGTGACTCAAGACACAGTTCAGCCATTTTCTGGACCTGCTCTCCTCTCTCAGGCCCCCTTATGCTATGTGCTAGCTCCTGGAGTTAGGTAATTTTTAAAGATTCATTATTTAAATGAATGTGTATTTCCGATTGTGCAAATGCAATGCCCTTGGAGGCCCAGAGAAGCGTCAGATCCACTGGAACTGGAGTTACAGACGATTTTTGAGCCACCATATAGGTGCCGGGGACAGAACCCCAGTCCTATGGGAGAGTAGCAGTGCTCTTATCTGCTGAGCCATCTCTCTAGCCCCTGTGTGTGTTTTTTTTTTTTAAGATTTATTTATTTATTATGTATACAGCGTCCTGCCTGTGTATTGCATGTAGTCCGTAAGAGGGCACCAGGTCTCATTACAGATGGTTGGGAGCCATCATGTGGTTGCTGGGAATTGAACTCAGGACCTCAGGAAGGGCATCCAGGGTTCTTAACTGCTGAGTCATCTTTCCAGGCCTGAGTGCTGCATCTTGATCCTCAGGCAGCTGGGAGAGACTGAGGCACATTTCCTCCAACAAGGCCACACCTACTCCGACAAGGCCACACCTACTCGGACAAAGCCACACCTCCTAGTGGTGCCACTCCCTATGGGCCTACGGGGCCATTCTCATCCAGACCACCACAGTCATGACACCTGCCTTCTTGCCCTTTTCCTTTCGGCTCACTGTGTGTCCTTGGTTGCTGCTTACTCGGCCTTGTACGCCTCCGGCCGGGTAGCTCCCTAGCTTTTCCCACTCCATGTCTCCACCCTTAGTTGTGAACTGGTCTTGTCTGCACCCTGGCCTTATTATATTTTATTCCTAATTCAAGTTCTTACACCTGGACCTTCCACCATCTGCAGGGGAAGTGAGTCCTGCTTTGAAATCACTTCCTCCTCCATAACCTTCTCCCACATCGTGTTATCACTTCTCCACAATGGCCAGCATCCTAGACTGCTCTTTTCTTGGACTTCTGGTGGCGGGTCCCGGCACTGTGAGCACCTGCCCTTCCTTATTAAAGCTCCATGCCCCTCACGCCACAGCCTGCCAGGTGCAGGGTTGACCAGCTCTCTGTTGTCTTTAGCGACTATGTGGTGTGGTTTCTTGAACCCTGTACATTTGCAGGCTGTCTTCTGTCCCCCACTGGAATGACAGTGCTCCATGCCAGACAGCAGGCAGGAGCCGGTTGTTAGGGAACAGGCCGTTCTGAAAACCCAGGAAAGTTTCCAGTGTGTTAAGGTTCTATTTTTATTTTATTTTATTGTTTGTTTTGTTTTGTTTTTCGAGACAGGGTTTCTCTGTGACTTTGGAGGCTGTCCTGGAACTCGCTCTTGTAGACCAGACTGGTCTCAAACTCACAGAAATCGGCCTGCCTCTGCCTCCTGAGTGCTGGGATTAAAGGCCTGCACCACCACCGCCCGGCTATGTGTTAAGGTTTTAAAAGATGGTATTTGTGGACTAACAGCCTCTTTCTGGCCCCTCTCTCCCACCAACCATCAGACTGGAAGGAATCGGTGATTAAAGCTGAGACTGAAAAGCTCACATTGCTCAAAACTTCCCACTTAGAGACTTAAAAAATAGAGCCCAAGGAAGTCTCCCTAAGGCTCTGAGCTACTGAATCATTTTACTTCTATTTATTATTATTATCATTACTATTATTAATTTCTGACACAGAGTTTCTCTGTGTAGCTTTGGAGCCTGTTCTGGAACTCACTGTGTAGACCAGACTGGCTTGGAACTCACAGAGATCCCCCTGCCTCGTGTGCTACCACTGCCTAGCTTTTTGCTTCTGTTTTTTAGGATTTATCACACACACACACACACACACACACACACACACACACACACACACACACACACAGGTGTCTGGAGTTATCGGCATTTGTGAGCTCTCTAATGAGAGCAATGGGAACTGAACTCAGATCTTGTGCAAGAGCAGCACATGCTCTTAACCACTGGACCTGCTCTTCAGTCTTATTTCACTTCTGTTTTTATTTGGTGATACCTAGGATACAATTTGGAGTCAGATCTCTGTGAGAAAGAAACAGATTGCTATCCTAAGGCAAGGGCTCTGTAATAATCTCTATGGAATATGATGGGGCAGAGATTTCATGTTGCCACGAGTCTTACCAATACCTGTAATAAAAATCATTCGGGATTGTGTACACATCATCCCTCCCAACGGAAACAGGTAACGCCGTCTAGATCCCGTTTTCCTCACCTGGTGGCTTCCTGTGCGAGTCCCAGCAGCAGGAAGTCGGCCTCCACTTGACTGCTGGGATTGCAACCAATAGATTTGTTTTGTACAGAGAAAATGCATCTCTTTCCTAACTGCTGCTGGTTAAGACCCACTTTGGAGGCCTGGCCTGAGCGGAAGAGGTGGACCAATGTATAGAAACGACCAATGACACGTTTTTGAGAGTTTTAAAATACCTCTGAAGAGACACAGAGAGAACTTCCTAAAATAAACCCTGGGTGTAGTGAATTACTGTCACGTTTCCTCACCCCACGAGGCAGAAATGGACACCTAACGGTCTCATCAGGTGCCCTCAACAGCAGCTCCCAGCCACCTGGCACAGCCTTGGTCCCAGCTGTGCCCCTCTCACGTCCCTGTCACCAAGGGCCACACCAATGGCAGAGAGCATTTTTGTGCATGTTTGGGGGTACGTGAGCTGCATCCCTGTGGCTACACTGTCTTACCCCCTTACGTGATGCCTGGAAACCAAGATCTCTGTATCTGGGTAATGATCTTCAGTCTGAAGGTGGTTTGGAAGTCCCTTCAACATCACTGGGTTGGTTCTTGGAGTGGGTGTTCGCTGGTGTCCTGTCCACACTGGTGGAGACACAGGTATGTCTGTACCTATGTATTCTGTACCCCAGCATGGCCAAAAGAGCCATTTTGCTCTAGCCTGAGGTCTCTGAGTTCACTTTCTGTCTTAAGGGGGTTCAGAAATCTGTTACTGGGGTATGGCCCTCAAGAGGCAATGTGGAGAAGTTACTGTGCTTCTTACTGGGGCTGGAGCACAGGGCAATGTGCGTACTAGGCAAGCATTCTAGCGGTGACTCCCACCCCTAGGGCTGCGACACCCTTTTCCGGCTGCAGCAGAGCCTGCTGTGCCCAGGGTGGTTTGTCAAAGCTGAACCTTCCCTGTCAACCCTCACCCAAGTACCTGTTCACTGGTTGATTTCACCCATGTACGCTCCCCCCCCTCCCCGGTATCCAGCAGTATCAGGGTTCAGTACTTCCTGCTTCTCCTGGCACCCGCAGCCTTGTCCTGATGTGCAGGAAGCTTGCTACTTCCCAGGCACGCTGCCCACTTAACAGGAACGCCCCCAGCATCTGCACCTGGTGTGGATACATCCAAAAATAGTTCCTTCCTGTGTAAACGCTGGCAAGCCATGGGTTATAAACTCTGGGGTTATGGGATTTTCCCTCTCAGTGATCTGTCCATCATTTCCTTGAGACTCTGCCCCCACCTAGGTGTCAGGGACCAGTCACTTCTTACCCACCTGCAGGGCTGCCAGGGTCCCAGATGCCTTGCAACCTTGTTTGACCCTAACTGCAAATTTCTTTTCCTCATCTATGTAACAGGGGAATTCCCAGATCTAAATGAACACTTTATGGGTCTTAATAATACTGTATTCTGTGGAGCCGGCAGGTAAAATACCAGGAAGAAGCAGCCACAGTTCCTTAGTGACCCAGAGCCTGCAGTGATGTGTGTGTGTGTGTGGGGGGGCAGTACAGAGACAGGCAGGTGATACAGTGCTGTGGATGGTTAGAGGTAGACTTTTTCCAGACCTGGGACTATTTTGTTTATCAGTGACTTCATTGTTGACCGAAGTTAGGTCAACAGAGGACTATTTGATGATAAAGAAGAAAAACGAGTTGATGGAAAAAAATAACTATAATAACCCAAAGTTGTTCTGGTGGCTTCTCTACACATGCCTACTGTTGTTGACTTAAATTCTTCACCTTGAAATAGCTTTGTATTTAGAGAAAAATGGCGAAGATAGTTCAGACTTCTCGTGAATCCTATGCCCAGTTTCTTCTGTTATTTGTGTTTGTTTATTCATTCTAGGGGTGGATTCCATGGCCTAGAGCAGTCGTGGCTGCCACCCTTAATATAGTTCCTCATGTTATAGGGACGCCCAACCGTAAAATTATTCCATTGCTACTTCATAGCTGTAGTTTTGCTATTGTTATGAATCCTAATGTAAATATCTGACATATAGAATGTCTTGATGCATGGGTTGAGAACCACTGAGCTAGAGAGTCTTGCTCAAGACTTAGGCATTTTAGCAATTATGATGCAGTTCAGTTTGCATTTCATTATAATACAATGTACTTGAAATTACATCTTGTTTGTCCTGATACATCGCAGCTGAGGTTGGGAACAGTGTCACTTACTGTCTGTGTTCCCAGTTAGCTGTCACATGTACCCATAATAACTAAAATGAATGTGGAGGCCCAGAGACCTGGGGCAGGGCAACTGTGGATTTCTGTCTGTCTCGGAAAGTCTCGAGACCGTCCCCATGGAATCTGACAGTTGTTGGTGGAATGCTAACCTGAAAACATTTTAGTAGTAATGGCTTTATAAAGGGTTTCATCCCTATGCTCCATCCTGCAACAAACGTTTGCTGGTGCAACATGTGGCGGCAGCTGAACCAAACTCCTCTTCTTTCTCTTTTCTGACAGGTTTGCTCAGCACGATGGGTTGCAAAAACCTGCTCGGCCTGGGTCAGCAGATGCTGCGTCGGAAGGTGGTGGACTGCAGCCGGGAGGAGAGCAGACTGTCTCGCTGCCTCAACACCTTTGACCTGGTAGCTCTTGGGGTGGGCAGCACCTTGGGTGCTGGCGTCTACGTCCTGGCTGGTGCAGTGGCCCGTGAGGATGCTGGTCCTGCCATTGTCATCTCTTTCCTGATCGCTGCCCTGGCCTCAGTGTTGGCTGGCCTGTGCTATGGAGAGTTTGGTGCCCGTGTTCCGAAGACTGGCTCAGCCTACCTCTACAGCTACGTGACAGTTGGGGAGCTCTGGGCCTTCATCACCGGTTGGAACCTGATTCTGTCCTACATCATTGGTATGTTCTCTGATCCCCTCCAGCCTGCAGCCTTTATCCTCTGACCCCTGTTTGTTAGGGATGCTCTGGTCTCCTCTCTCCAAGGACTGACTTGGTATATCTCCAGGAGCCCTCCAGTCTGACTACTGTTTGTGTGCCTCTCACTTTTAGCAGGGATTAAGGTGTCTTTAGGAGTCACTGTTGTGACTTCCCTCATTCTGCAAGGGTTTGAGTTTGCTTTCTGTTGCTGTGATAAACACTGAGGCCAAAAGCAACTTGGGGATGAAAGGGTTTATCTCATCTTACAGATTACACTCCATCAGTGAATGTGGAGATTTTTATCTGGACAGTCGGCTCCCAAATAACCACACAGAGACTTATTAATTGTAAATGATCAGCCAATAATTTAGACTTGTCTCCAGCCAGATATTACAACTTAAATTAATCAATTTCTATTCATCTATGTGCTGCCCAAGGCTCATTTACCTCATCTATGAACTTCCCATGTTGCTTCTTCTGAATCATGCTCCCAACACCTCTGTCTCCTCTGACTCAGTCTTCCTTCTTTCAACATTATCTCTGTCCTGAAAATGCTGCGTAGCTATTGGCCAATGAACTTTTACATTAACAATGAGAGCGACACATCTCTACAGTGTACCAGAAGAATTATTCCACAGCAAGGGAAGTCAGAGAAGGAACCTGGAGGCAGGTGTTCATGGAGATTTTCTCCTGCCAGGGGTCCCACCGCCCTTGAGTCCCCAGATAAGCACACAAAGACTTATATTAATTATGAAACTGTTGGTCAGTGGCTTGGGCTTCTTATTGGCTAGTTCTATCTTAATTATTAACCCATTCATATTAATCTATATATTTCCACGTGGTCTTGGCTTACCAGAGAACGCCTAGCGCATACTCTCTTTCCAGGCTCTACATGATGCTCCAGTCTGCCTATGTTTCCCAGAATTTTCCTCATCTCCTAGCCCTGCCAATGCTTCCTGCCTGGCCAATCAGCCAATCAGTGTTTTATTCATCAACCAATAAGAGAAATATATATACAGAAGGACATCTCCTGTCAGGCAGGAGCTGAAGCAGAGAACATGGAGGAGTGCTGCTTACTAGCTTTCTCTCGTGGTTACTCAGCTTGCTCTCATCTGTAACCCAGGCCTACCAGCCCAGGGGTGGCTGGCACCCATGGTCATCTCATCCCTCTCACATCAATCATTAATGAAAAAGCTCCAAAGACTTTTCTGTGGGTCATTCTGGTGGAAATGGCCCTTTAGTTAAGTCTGTCTCTTCCCAGATGACCCCAGCATGCATGAAGTTGACAAAAAGCTAACTAGTAACACCTGTGAGCAGAGATCATGTCAGGCGAACTATGACCATCCTTGCTAAATCAATGAATACATGGCTAATAGGATAATTCTAATTTAAAACGCAGTTTTGTTTTTGTTAGTGACCACCCCCAGATTATTACAGTAAATATATCATGATGGATGACATTTTGGGAAACAGAAAAGCGCAAAGAAGAGAAACAGAGAAGCACCCAACCTGATAACCAACAGAAACAGTATTTCCTGTGTATTGCTTTGTTCTGGCCATTTCACTGGAGATGTGTGATACTGTCTGGACAGTTAGGGGTATCCCACTGTTAACAAGTTAGCACTGAGTAGAGATGCAGAGGGATCTAACTTAGGGCCTTTCACATGCTAGACATATGTCCTTCCACCAAGTTATACTCCCAGCTCCTAAGTATATATAGTTTTAATCTCTTTATAAACCATATATCATGGTGGTTTCTCCATGGCAGTATTCCCACTGACTATATCATTGTGTATATAGGTTTATAAATCCAGAATAACCTTACCAAATGTCCTTCTGCACTATTTAGATCATATCTGTTGTTTTCCACAAATAATTACTTTATGTAATTGTAGACATAGCCACAGTTTCTTCCCCTTGAAATATTCAAGGGACAGAATGTCTAGGTCAAAAGTTCTGCCTGTTTTAAAACCTTTGTTCACTCTGGTCCTCCATCCTACCCAGCTGTTGGGAGATTTTCTTGGTCTAGTCTCAGGCCCACTGGACCAGTTTCTCTCCACCCAATTGGGTCCTCACAGCCACAATGAAATAGCCACTGTGAGACTTAAATCTATTTATAAGTGTTTGACCATTGCCTTAGGATTCTTACTGGCTGGCTCTTTCTTAACTATTAAACCATTTCTATTGATCTGTGTATCTCCACATGGCCTTCACTTACCGGTAATGCCTGGGGATCCTGCCTACTCGGTGACTCCTTGACTTCACCCTCTTTCTCTACGTGTCTCTGTTTGAATTTCCCACCTGGCTCTATTCTGCCTGGGTATTGGCCAAATCAACTTCTTTATTAACCAATGGTAATAAAATGTTTTCACAGCATAGAGAGGGGCATCCTGCATCACCCAGCCTTTCTTCTCATTCTTCACCGGGCATTAGCATTGAACACAACCACCCATGAAATCTCAGTTCATCCCCACAAGGAAACCTGGACATGTGCTGTGAGCCGCCTCCTGTCCTGTGGGCATCATGTCAGCATGGGGGATACCATAGCCACCTCCTTAGGCTATCAGACAGAGACCAAGGCTCAGGTGTCCAGTACCGTGTCTGAACCAGCGGAGCTTGCTCTAATGGCTCTAATGTAAAATTCCTAATTTTTCTTTTCCTGTGCAGTCTTCCAACTGTAACCACAGATGACTCTCACATACCAACGCTTCTCAGTGGGAAAGAAGCTTTTGTAAATGGGTTGTTACATTTCCAGGCAGTTTACCTGGGCATAAAACAACAGTGAGCTTAAAGCATTTGCTGCTGTTAGACCAACAAAATAATAGTCTTCCCTGTGGTGCTACTTGCCTGTGGAAGACTCATGAAAACGATCTGGAAATCTGTGCTCAGCCTTAGCTACTGGGAGAGGAGAGTTTCTCAGTTTTAAGAATGCATATATGGTTATGCATTTGAAAGAGGCGATTCTGACGTGAGAACATGGTGGCCTCGGAAGAAAGGCTAGGGTGGGGTCTGGACTGTCACGGCAGCGAGCCGGCTTCTTTGTGCATGCAAAGCAGACAGACCATTTTTCTTCATTAGTCTCATGGCCTTCATGGACAGAATTCCTAACAGCCAATGAAAAGTGAGGTTAAATTTTTGAGTTGTTGGCAAAACACTTAACATGAGAGCAAATAATGAAGGTGAATCTTTGTGCGAACCCCTCTGTGTTCTGTGGATAATTCAGACCACAGTCATGGGCGAGGCCCCCTCAAACGAAAGGAAAATGCCAGATAGGAATATTAGCCTTCCAGTGTCCTTGACACACAGCACTGGAAAGGCAGGGGTGTCTTCAGTATAAAAGGAGAAACGGGGTGAAAGAGCAGTCAGTACAGCCCGCTGTCGGGGTGCAGCCTCTTCGTGTATTCTCTGTAGCTGGGGCACTTGGGACTGGCTCATGGAGGTGAGATGGCAGCTTCACCATGGTCCTGCACTCTGGGGCATACCCTGGCCGCTGGGTTCAGGTACAAAGTGTCAGGTTGGATGACCAGGGCTGAATGGTAGGCTTGGCCCTGCAATGTGTCAGTCCATTTGTAGGTCACCTTTGAGATGAGGTCTTAGGCATGGATACCGTTGTCCCTGCTGCCAAGCGTTCATGGAAGAGGGGACTTCCTAAGTCGTGTTTACCAGACTGATCCATACCAAGAATGCATTTTGAAATCAGTTTCCTGACTTGTCAGTATCTGTTATTTGGGTAAAGCAAATGGGTAGAGCTGAGTTAATGCTGTCAGAATGGTAAGGGCGGTTATTTATTTGTAAGTTTTTATTGAGATATATACACCTACACATTTATGCTCATATGTATGCTGTGTGATTTAACTGCACACACAAATGCTTCCCGACTTATTGGAGTTACATAGTAATAAATACATCATACAACAAAAGTATCAAAATGAACGTGGTGGTGTACTCTTGAGATTTCGGCAGACAGGATGGCATGTTTGAGGCTAGCCTAGGCTGTATGCAGAGACAATAGACGCTCCTCCTCAAAAATACAAATACAATGAAAATACAGGCAGTACTAAGTGTAGACCACCCACCTAACTACCCTTGGCCTAGCCTAGGAGCAGAGTCCCACACACGTGCCTCATGGGCAGGGCTGACTGGTCATTGTGCTCTCCAGAATTACCACAAATGAAGTATTGCTTAGACCCTTAAAAGATGAAAACTTGAAGTGTAATTTCTACCAAATCCACATTGTTATCGCTATATTAACAGGGTTTCAGTTTATGATCAAGATTTACTCTTGCACATTAGTGTCTCTCTCTCTCACACACACACACACACACACACACACACACACACACACACACACACACACACACACACAGTGTAGATCTTGGTTGAGCATAAGATGCAGTTCTTTCTAAGCTCTAGCAGCCTCGGGGAGTGTGGGCCTTTACCCCACACACTGGTAGCATCTGCTGGGACTCAGCGCCTGCCGGTAGATGGCAACATGCTGTCTGTCTGTGTGTGACCCTGCCTGGGTGCTGTAACATCAAACATGATGAGGGACCTCTTGTTGACCACCCTTCTCTAACTGTCACCATGTGTTCTGTGGCAGGTACTTCAAGTGTGGCAAGAGCTTGGAGTGCGACTTTTGACGAGCTGATAGGCAAACCCATTGGAGAGTTCTCACGGAAACACATGGCCCTGAATGCCCCTGGGGTGCTGGCCCAAAACCCTGACATATTAGCTGTGATTATAATTCTCATCTTAACAGGTAAAGCCTCATTTTGACAAAAAGCTTGTGTTGGGGTAATGGGTAAAACTCCTGTTGTAAGATTACATTGTTTCTTTCATTTATTTGTGTTCCTTCATTTATTGGCAGGTCTGGGGATGGAACCCACAGCCTCACCATACCTGGCCAGTGCTTTTTCTCGTACTTTCCTACCTTGTCTCTCTGCATTTCTCTCCCCACTCCCCCTTTCTTTGGTTTCTTTTGTAATGTGTATGGACAATTTGGTTTTCTCCCTGTCCCAATGGCTGCTTCCAGCTCATCCCAGGATTGGCCTGTTGTAATAGCTGCTGAGACTGTGCTGTTTAGTTAAAAGAGAGAGTCCTGGGTGAGTTTTTGTAGCACTGAAGGCTCTTTGTCCTTTGACTCGGTGGATGACCATTTGGATAAGAAACTAGTAGTTTGTCTGCCAGGAAAATGCAGGGCAGTGATCTCCCTCTGGAAGAGGAATGTATGCCTGGGCTTTCAAAGGCGTCTTGGGTGGTTCTACTTACACTTCACAACCAGGAAAACACCCTTTGAATACATAAGTTGTGGTTGCCCAATCTGAAAATTCCAAGCACTGCAGGACACAGCCCGTAGCGGTTTCCTGCTAGTGACACTGGTCTGTGTCTCTGATGTTCTGGTGAATGTCTTTCTCCACCTGATGTTCTGGTGGATGTCTTTCTCCACCGAGCATTTCCTAGACACACACGGAGCTTCAACACAGCAGTTCTCATCACACAGTAGACGTTATAAAGTCTTGGATGAGTCTGGAAAGCTCCTTCCACATTGCGCAATTGAAGTCATCCCACCCAGGCCAGCCTTGACAGTGTTTTTGGTTCAGCTGGCAGAAACATGTGTCAGAAAAGATGCTTGTACAACTGCAGTTAGATTTTTATTTTCATAAACACCTGAGGGAGGGACACTAAAGAAAACAGTACAATGGAGCATAGTGGCATCTTCCCCTCTGAGACGTTACTCGGTCAGAATTCATCTGATGTGTTCCATGGTTTTTCATACAGAGGTGTGGAAGTTGACCATGGGAAGGCCACGATCTGGGGTCATACTGGTTGGGTCCTGGGTGACACTGCCTCCCTTTTCAGATCCTTCACTATTTAGCTACACGTTAACTGTCTTTCTATCACTGTGACAAATGCTTGAATTTACATCATATCAAGAATAAAGTTTTATTTAGGCTCACAGTGTTTACGACTTCAGGCCATTCAGGCCTGTGGTGTGGCAGAATATTGTGATGGGAGTGTGAGACCGAGCCAAACTGTTCATTCATGAGTGGACAGAGAAAGAAACTATCTGCCAGCATTCCCTACCTTGTGAAAACGCTGCCTCCCAATAGCACCACCTAGTGGAATATACCTTTATTACATGAGGGGTGTGTGTGTGTGTGTGTGTGTGTGTGTGTGTGTGCGTGCGTGCTGGGGGGGGCTTATACCTTTATTACATGGGCTGTGTGTGTGTGTGTGTGTGCGCGTGTGCTGGGGGGGGCTTAAAATTCCAGACTGTGTGGGAGTCCCAAGGCCGTGAGGATGCCTTAAAGATTGTGCAGTTTTGGGATTCCTGTACTCTGTCACTTGATTGTTCTGTTTTGTTTTTAAGCAAGTTTACGAGCTAGAACTGATCAAACTTAGACATTATTTTACATATTCTAAGTATGAGGAGGGTCCACATATGCTACCAGTTCCTAGAACACAAAGGATTGTCACTAACATCGTGACTAGTGCCGCCAAGTCAACCTGCAGCATTCCTCATCCAGAAACCTCTCATTCTACCAAGAAGTTGAACCAAAGTGACATTTCCTAGGAGGGAATAAAATCCCTTTAACTTCCTTGAAATATCTTGCCCCTGCTTTGTGCATGGATCAAGGCTCTGTCCACCCTCCACCAAGGGCTTGCTCTTCGTGGGAGGCTAAGTGCCATGGTCCAGACTTCTGCAGGGCTTTAGCGAACTGTGGTAGCATCCTCAGACCCCTGAGAGCCCTGAGTGTGAATGCCGCACTGTCCTAGAGCCACAGATAGTTCAGCCATGTTCCTCGAGGCTCACAGAGGTCCTTGGAGGTCCCGTGCCCATTGGCTGCTTCCTCCCCTCCATCTTCTTCTTCCCTGCCCCTGAGCGAACGGAGCTGGTGCATCCTGTGTGGCTAACACATGGTTTTCTGCTTGTGCCTTTTCTTAGGGTTGTTAACGCTTGGTGTAAAAGAGTCAGCCATGGTCAACAAGATCTTCACCTGTATTAATGTTCTGGTCTTATGCTTCATCATGGTGTCGGGGTTCGTGAAAGGGTCCATTAAAAACTGGCAGCTCAAGGAGGAGGACTTCTTGAATAGATCCAGCCCTCTTTGTGGGAATAAGTGAGTTTATTTTGTGTATTCCTTTGGCATGTGACAGTTCTCTGTATTTGTTAATTCGGATCATATAGAGGTATTGGGTGATGCAGTTCATGGGGTAACACACACCTTTAAATATTGCATGATTTTGACTTATTTTGTAAAAGTGATTTTTTTCCTCAGTGAAGTAGCTAAGGAGTTTTATTTTTTAAAATTAATTGATTAATGTATTTATTTACTGTGTAGATCTGACTGACCTCCAGCTCATAGAAATCCACCTGCTTTTGCCTCCCAAGTGCTGGGACTAAAGGTGTACACCACCACACTACTCCTACAGTGTCTTCAACAAGTTCCAGTTATTTAGGAAACAAGCCAAATCATTATAATGTCACTTTAATCTTCTTGGTCAAATTTTCAGGTGACTCTCAGTGTATTAGGACACACAGTGGAAGTTGTCTGTGATTCTATTTTCATTAAGGCTAATGCTTAAATTGCTATGATGAAGGGACCTTTGTGAGACACTGTGACTTTTTATGGTAGTGGCTACCCATCTTAGAACCCCAGATGTCTTTGTTTGTTCTGTCCTACCTGGGGACAAGTTTTGTTGGCCTCTTGTCTGGACTGGGTGTACGAGCATACCTCAGATTTTCCAGAAGGGGAACTAGAATAAGATATGGACAGGGTATGCCCAAGGTATCTGCAGGCTGGTCTGGAACACCTCTTCCACATCCCCACCCCAGCCCATCCACACCTGTCTACCTTCATTCCTTCTACTAGAATCCAGTGAGTAGCCATGTGTACCTACAGGGGAGGCTGAGAGGTGCCGGCCTATGCTAGGGATCTGAGCAGTCACACATCCTACACTGGTCACTGGCTACAGTCCAGGTGTCTAGCCTGTTTTACTACTGCAGTGGAAACACGAAAATGTTGAATCAGATACACAAAACTCCCTAGTAGTACCGTCCTATAATTGTCAGTTCAAGTACAAGTATCTTTTCCTTTCCTAAATTCCACTATGGAGCAATAAGTACTTTTACTGCCTCATTGCCAAACATTCTGGAGCTGGTTATATTTATTCCAAATTTATTGGTCTGTATGAATTTAAGGTGGAGTGAAGCCAACTCAAAATACGCTTTGAAGTTCCACAGTAGACTTTGGAAACTCTGGATATCACATTTCATTGGCTGCTATTTACAGACAGGAGTGAAACGCAGAGGGCTTTCCTTGTTTCCTGGTGGCCAGCTGAGGTTTGGGTTTGTTTTTGCAGATTGCATGGGGCTGACTAGCAACAATCATTGCATTTCCCATTCGTTCTTGCACTGGCCACCGTAGGGATGGTTTACACAGCACTGACCTCCCAGACAAGGTGACATTTGTTGTCTGGGTTGGGCCTTAAGTCCATTTGAATACCAGAGGGACTGCTGGGCCACAGGGGACCTGCCACTGTAGGAGCAGAGTTCTACAGGCCTGGAGCCTAGCTGAGTCTTCCATGTGATTAAAGTCTGTAAATGGCCTTATGTAATGTGTTCATTCATTTCCCCTTTTCCAGCTATAGAATTACATTTCTCACAATAGCCCTGTGAAGTTGCTTGTCCCTCAGTGAGAGCCCTATGTCTCCTTCCTGCACCCCAATACATAGAGGACTTCCAGTGATCATGATGCTGGTGATGTCCTAATTACTTCCCTGTGGCTGCGATAAAAACACAGACTAAAAGCAGTATTGGGGGCGGGGAGGCGCAGTGAATTTGCTTGGTTTACACTTCCAGGTCACAGTTCATCCTTGAGGGAAGCCAGAGCAGGAACCTGGAGGCCTGACTTCATGTGTTGGGTGGGGTCTAAGGAAAGGTGTGGCAGGGACTCTGTGGAGTGGTTTGTCCTCACCCATGGTTTTGAGCTCATTCTATCAGTTGGGGAAGGCTGTATGAGCCCCTTGTTATACGTCAAGGCAGCCCCTGAGCCCCCCCCCCCCTGGTGCTTCCCTTAGTCTCCTCTTCAGCGAGCCATCCAAAGCCCCTTCCTCTGTCCACAGGCCTAGCCGTTGGCTGTTTTCTGGGAGTCCAGTCTTCTCCCCTCTCATTTAATAGCTGGACTTTGCACTTCTCTGTACAGACAGGCTCTCACTCCCCAGGGCCTCCTGATTCTTCTTCAAAGCAAGCCTTCCTTGGCGACACCCACACTTTACCTACAGTCACTTCCCCCCACACATGGGTGCTTCAGGAATGCTGAGGCTGAATAAAGATCAGTTCGCTGGTGTACAACCTCAACTTGTTTAGAAGTAGCTGTTTTAAGGGGGGAGGGGCTGTCCTGCCTCAACTCGGTATGCCAGACTTTGTTGACTCCCCAAGGAAGACCTCACCCCCTCTGAGGAGTGGACGGGGGGGGGGGGTGTGGGGGGACAGAGAAGGAGTGGTAGGGGGAACTGGGGCTGGTATGTAAAATGAAAAATAAATTGTTTTCAAATAATTAAAAAAAAAAACAAGAAATATCTTCTTTTAGATTTAATCTCCTGGTACATACAGGGTCTGGGCCAGACATGGCATTCCCAGCTGATGGCTTCCTGGGGAGAAGAATGGGAAAGGGACCAGACACTTTGTTGAAGCTTGCCAGTGTCCCATTAGACTCTTGCCTCTCAAAGTCTGGACATAGAAAATGCTTCTGGAAGGGTTAATAGCGTGTGCCGTTGGGGTTCCTGGCCTTGGGGAGGAGGGGCCTGCTACCCACTGAGTGCCCTCACTGGAGGACTGGGGACTGTGACCCAGAGACTTTCTTCAGATTCAGAGCGGCGGCGCTGTCCCCGAAATGAAACTGCAGCAGGAGTTCTAGTCTTTACTGTTTTTTTTTTCCTCTAGTGACACAAATGTGAAGTATGGTGAGGGAGGGTTCATGCCCTTTGGATTCTCTGGCGTCCTGTCAGGGGCAGCCACATGCTTTTATGCCTTTGTGGGCTTTGACTGCATCGCCACCACAGGTATGTGGGCTTTCCTTCCGTGGGGCCCCGCCCCCTGGCAGCCGCTGCCAGTAATTCCTTTCCTGTTGGCACGTTCTGCTTGCTGTTCTGGTCCCACAGGAGCAACTGTGTAGATTTGTCGTTTCCTGCTGATCTCTTCTCACTCTCTCTGTCGCCTTCCTACATCCCCGAGGAGCAGGCCCCCACAGGAAACTACATCATTAACATAAGCAGGGCCCTGTCATTAGAGTGGGACAATGACAGTGTGACTGAAGCCTGATTTCATATCTGCACATCCAGGCCATTGTAATGACAACGTCCTGGCCGATTGTGTTCCCTTGAGACTCGCGGCTTCTCGGCCAAAGGAAACAAGCCCCTCCCTTAGCTGACCTGTGATAGAAAGGTCGGGAACACCCTCCCGGGCTGCGGTTGCGTGGTGGGTCACGGGAAGGTCAGAAGACCCCAGTTCCTGTGGAGCATGCGCTTCAGTGGGCATGCGGAGGATGCCATGTCTCTTGCTAAGCCCTGTGGGGCATGCGCTTCAGTGGGCATGCGGAGGATGCCATGTCTCTTGCTCTCTTTCCCTCACTGACCGACACCTGCTGCTTCCAGGTGAAGAAGTCAAGAACCCCCAGAAGGCCATTCCCGTGGGCATCGTGGCGTCCCTCCTCATTTGCTTCGTAGCTTACTTCGGGGTGTCCGCAGCCCTCACGCTCATGATGCCTTACGCCTGCCTGGACACCGACAGCCCGCTGCCTGGTGCCTTCAAGTACAGTGGCTGGGAAGGAGCTAAGTATGCAGTGGCTGTCGGCTCCCTCTGCGCACTCTCCGCCAGGTGAGAACAGCTTCCTGAGTGCTTCCAACCCCAGCACCAGAACACCAGTGGCGTGGCTTGTGCATTTTGTTGCTGTTATTAATACGGATGTTCCCCTTTATCCATGGGGAACTACACTCTGAGACCTCCATTGGATTCCTGAAACAATAGATCGTCCATCCCAAGCCCTAAATAAATTTGTCACAGTAAGATTGACACCAGTAGCTAAGGGTATAATGGAAGCATCATTATGTACTGACATTAAGAAAAAGGTAAAACTGTCACTTCCATATCTGTGGAATTTTCCATTAATATTTTCATATTGTAGTTGACACGGGTAAAAGACTGCAGAAAGCAGAACTAGGTAAGCGGAAACCACCGTACTTTTGAAAAGAACTGGGGCCAACTTTTGTACGTGATGCTTGGCAAGGAAATGGCTTCCTGCTCCTGACTCTGGCCTCTCAACCAGGCCTCCTCTTTGATGGTTGTATTGTTGGCCTTCAGTTTGGCTGTAAGGCAGAAAGAAGCTCCTTTGAGTAAAGGAGTGGGTGCCTTTTAATGAGACACATAACCCCCAACACACGCACACACATATGTGCACACACACATACACATACCCTAAAGCACATGCACATGCTCATGCATGCACATACACATGAGCACACACATGCACACACATATACTTGCGCAAGCACACACACACACTGCTTCCCCACCAGCTTGTTTAAGCCGCTCACACATAAGTGCAAAAAGGAACTACTTGCACATATGTGCATACGCACATACACACACTCGTGCATGCACACTTACATATAACACTCTAGCATACGTACATATATGTGCATACACACATGCGCAGTGCTTTCCCATCAGCTTGTGTAAACAGTTTACACATATGTGCACGCACGCGTGTGCAGCACACACACACGCACACACACACAGCTTCCTCATCAGCTTGTATAAACAGGAACTGTTTGCTAACGCTTGACTTCAGTCAGAAATGACTGAAGACGTAAATGCGAGAGCTCCTTCGTGGATGTTGCCCTGGGGTTGCACGATCCTTTCTGTTAGATGTCCCTAGTCTGTCCATTGGTCTTACGCTGACAGTGTGAGTTGCTCCCGGATTGCACCCTCCTCTCTGTTAGGTGCTCCTAGTCTGCCCATTGGTCTTACACCTGCACTGTGAGTTTTGTGAAGCACTGAGTCCTGGAGCCCTGAGTGCCAAGCATTGTAGAGAGTGGATCTTGCTGAGGTCAGACACCTCTCCTTGGCCATGCCTGGGTCTTCTGAGGCCTTGTTTGCCAGTGACATATTTGTACTCATAGGTTTTTTCCTTTTCTCTCCCAGTCTCCTAGGCTCCATGTTTCCCATGCCCAGAGTTATCTATGCCATGGCTGAAGATGGACTACTGTTTAAATATTTGGCCAGAGTCAACGAGAGGACCAAAACACCAGTAATTGCTACACTGACCTCAGGCGCCATTGCTGGTAAAGATTGACATCTATTTCTGGTGCTGCTGTTTGAATGACTAAGTTAGCATTCCTAGGGAGGCATCTTGATGTTTACCTGTCTGTGGGAACTGTAAAAAACCACAACTCATCCATTAGAGCTTTTGAAACTATAGATTTTTACACTCCAAACCAGATTCACTAAACGATAACTGCATTTAAAAGTGTTTTTTACATTTGATTTACGTGTATGGGTGTTTTGCCTGTATGTATGTGCACTCAGTGTGTGACTGGTGCCCATGGAAGCCAGAAGAGGGCATCAGATCCCCCAGAACTGGAGTTACAGATGGTTGTGAGCCAACACGTATGTGCTGGGAACTGAACTCGGGTCCTTTACAAGAGCAGTCAATTTTCTTAACTGCTGAGCCGTCTCTCCAGTCCTAGATAAATGTACATTTGATGAAAGACAGTGAAGGCATGTTTATAGATGATGGGTTGGAACTATTCTTAGAGTTTAACTCTTACTGTGGCAAAACTCACACACACACACACACACACACACAAGTGTTCCTTCAAAGCCACCCATCGTCCCTGCCTAGTGTTTCCCTGTGTAGAATTTGGGAGGCTGGCCTCTTGTGTAATCCAAGCCAAAAGTACTCTTGGGTAAACACCAGCAATTCTAGTGTCCATACATCTTAGCTTGCTGATTGCCTGGAGCATGAATGACCCTCACAGTCAGTTTTTGTAAACATGCACCATCTCTTTCCCAGGGGGCATATGTAGGGTTTGCTGTTTGCCCTCAGAGAGTGGTAGACCCAGAGCTGAGGAAGTTTTCTTCTGCCATCATGTTCATCCCCAAGAGTGCAGCTGTGATAGATGAACTAGGTAAACTAAGGACCTTGGAGTCATATGATGGTGTGGGGGACCCGGAGGAAGCCCTCGTGGGTACTGCCATGTGTCCTGCAGTCTGTTATTCCTTCCTTTCACGACTGAGGTTAGAGTCCGCTGTCCACCTAGAGAAGTGGTGACCTGAAGAGGCCCAGGGTCACACCCAGGAAGGCAGAGCTGCTCTGGATTTCTGCTTGTGTTCATGCCAGAAGCAGTTCCTTGCAGTATCGACCAGCACCGGGTCTGTTTTTATACGGTACTATACAATTTGTATCTCAGTGTCTTGTCAAATGGTTACTAGTAAAACAATCCTATCTATCTATCTATCTATCTATCTATCTATCTATCTATCTTTGTTTTTTGAGCCCTGACTGTCCTGGAACTCACTGTGTTCACCAGGCTGGCCTCGAACTCACAGAGATCTGCCTGTCTTTGCCCCCTGAGCACTGGGATTAAAGGCATGCCCCCTCCACACACACACCAGGCTGACAATTGGCCATCTTAAATGAACAAATGATTTACTAGTTTTGTTAGTATTTATACCTTAGTAAAGTGTTTTAGTTTTGTGACTATTATTGTATTAAAAAGAAAACAAATTTAAAACTGTTTACCAATAGTTCTGTGTGTAATTACAGTAGTAGGTTCTGGGGCACCGGGTCACGATGTGACCTGTAGACTTCAGTGACTGAGGACTTTGTTCAGTTCCCACATAATTTGGTGTAGTTTCCTTGCTGTACTCACAAAAGGAAGTCAAACTATGACCTTTCGGGTGACTGTAAAGGACACACCACTTGCCAAATCAAGAGTTGGCCCATTTTTTCCCCTTTGTTGGGATTAATATTTGGTTTTCTAAAATCATCTGGCATGGTAACAGTTTGGGTTTTTCTGTGAGCAGGAATGGAGGCGAGGGTGACATGTACTGTCAGAAGGTGTTCCAATTATATGGAAGGTCTCCACTGCTTCTCTAATCTAATTATTTATCATCAATTTAAATTTGTTTGGTTTGCATTGATCTGGTGGAGCTTCAAAGAATGTGTGTGGGAAATGGATAGTTTCATGATCCTGCTTTAATTTGTATTGATTTGCATGTGATTTGAAAATATCCCAAAGTAGATCCTGCTAAATTATTTTTAATGGGAAAAATTGGCATTGTATACTGACATAAATAGACACAGGAAATTTTTAAGTAAACACATGGGAGGATAACTGTTTTCCCTACTTGACTGTCTAGAGTAGAAGCTCCTGTGAGTCTTCCCATCAGCATCATCTCCTGATACATGTATCTTTAGATGATACTCCAGGAGGCCAGACACTGTGGTCTGCCCTCTTCAAGGTTGGGTACCTAGAACTTAGTGACTGGCACACTCTCGATCAGTGCTGGGTGGCTAAATGAATGAATGGTGAATGGAGGAGGAATGGGTGGTTGAAGGAAGGATGCATGGATGGAGGACTAAAGTATGGATGGATAGATGCATGTGTGAATAGACAAGATCAGGCGCATCCAGTGTGGTATGGCCTTAGAGTGTGGGTGGATGGTGGATAGTTGCAGAAATGGAAGAAAGACATATGAGCAGATGGAGGATGGATAGATAGATGGATGGGTGGATGAAGGAAGGATGGGTAGATGGGAGAATGGATGGAGGATGGCTGCAGAAATGAAAGAAAGACATGAGCAAATGAAGGCTGGATAGATGGTCGGGTGGATGGATGGGTGGGTAGATGGATGGATGGAATACAGATGAATGACTATAGTGGAGCAAGATGAATGGGTGGAAGATGTGGCTATGAGTCACCAACATGTAGCAGAAGTCACAGTGGAGTCAGAGTTGTAAGAATCTGATGCAGATCCTGGCTCTTCCATCTACAAGCTATATAACCTTAGCTGAACTTCCTACCTACAGTATTCATCTGTAGTGTTGTGTTGGCTTGAAAGATCATCCCCCCCCCAAAAAAAAAGAAAAGACAGAAAGACAAAAAGTATTCTCTATGCAAATTTTTAAAGATTTATTTATTTATTTATTTATTTTGTATGCAGTGTTCTGTCTGCATGTGTCCCTGCAGGCCAGAAGAGGGCACCAGATCTCATTACAGATGGTTGTGAGCCACCATGTGGTTGCTGGGAATTGATCTTGAATCCTCTGGAAGAGCAGCAAGTGTTCTTAACCACTGAGCCATCTCCTCAGTCCCCTCTATGCAAATGTCAATGTTATTGTTTCTTGAGAACTCTTGCAACCTTGAGCCTGTCTTCACCTGAGCAATGTCTCTCTGGACAGGCTGAGTGAGGGTGGGGCTGGTAGTACCCCGAATCACAGATGCATGCTGGTCCTAGCTATAGGAGTGGGCAGAGGGCCACTTGCAACCTTGATGTCTGTCTTCTCCCCAGCTGTGATGGCCTTCCTCTTTGAATTGAAGGACCTGGTAGACCTCATGTCCATTGGCACTCTCCTGGCTTACTCTTTGGTGGCTGCCTGTGTGTTGGTCTTAAGGTACGTATGGCTTTCCTGGGTTCCACAACAAATATTAAACAACCTCATTATGGCTGTTTTTTTTAACAGATCTGACAAATGGTTTGTAAGTTTATAAGGTGCAATTTTCAGGCCATATTAGCTCAATTGGGGCTGCCGAGTACACCCCCCTCCCCTGTTTTGTCATCTTGTCTCCTGTGCCACGCCTCCTCCTAGCACATGAGCTACTTCCTCCTATCATGTCCTCTGCTCCTCTGGCTAAATGTCCTCAACAGCAGCATTGGTCTGAGTCTGGAATCTGAAATTTATAAGGCTTAGGGTGATGGCCCAGTTGTTGGGAAAGATGATCCTGGGGGCTAGCCCTGGATTACATCAGAAGAATCTAAGGCCTATGAAACCAGGTCTGTATGGTGCTGCTGTAGCCTGCTTGTACTGTCACTTGGGAGTGAACCCCATGACATGGTGTGGTGTAGCTTTCAGGGACACTGGGTTCTAATTGTTTATCTTTTAAAGGAGCTTGGTGCCATAGTGTCTCACCCACCCAGACCTCCCCAAAGCACATACCTGGGCTCCATTTCCCGTGGATGTGGAGGAACAGGGACCTCTTAGAATGAGGTGGCCTTTGTCATGAGAACATGTATTTACAATGACTGTTGTTTGTCACCTGTTGTTGGGGCTTTTACTCTTACTCCTTACTTTTTTTTTCTTTTGAGGGAATCTACCACCAGCTCCCAGATAAATCACACATGGAGTCTTATTCTTTCTTATTAATGTCCGGCCTTAGCTTGACTTATTACTAGCCAGCTTTTCTTAACTTAAATTATCCCATCTACTTTTTACCTCTGGGCTTTTTCCTGTTTTTACTTCCGTATATCTTACTTTCACTCCGTGAGTGGCTGGGTGCTGGCCCCTTCTTTTCTGACTCCTTGATCTCTCCTTTCTTTTTCTCCTTCTATTCTCTCTGCTTGCCAGTCTGCCTATCCTTTCTCCTGCTTGGCTGTTGGCGGGTCAGTTCTTTATTAGATCAATCAGGTATTTTAGACAGGTAAAGTAACACAGCTCACAGAGTTAAACAAATGGAACATAAAAGAATGCAACACATCTTAGCATCATTAAGCAAATGTTCCACAGCATAAAAACAAATGTAACACATCTTAAAATAATATTCTACAACTGTCACCCAGCCAGAACTCCCTTTTTTCAGGTTTCTCCTTAGAAGGCAAATAGCTTCATTTTTCCAGAACCCAATTTCCATAAAACTTGGACTGGTTCCTACTAGTGACTTTGTAGGCTCAGCTCAGGCAAGTTCATGGACCCCTATTCAATTCTAGAGGCTCAACACCAACATGTTCTTTGAGCTCCACCTATTTTCTTAATTGGCCAAATTACCATGCATTTGTGGGTCTATGGGAAGAGCAGTTATCTCTCTCGCTGCACACTCTTCTTGTGCTTGGAACTGATCACCTGCAAAACAAGTCAAAAGGTATTCTGCTTTTAAAAGCTAGTGAGAACCTGTCTGGTTGGGAAGACAAGGAACCATGTCATGTGAACGCATGCTTCATCTGTGGGTAGCTTGTGTCTTGGAAGTCATGCCACAGGCATGACTGGCTCTGTAGTTATTCCAAGGCACTTAGAGATTTAGAATCACTTCGTCCAGTTAGGTCATGCAGACAGAGCTTACCCATACACCAGTCAATGACTCTCCAGCTTCCTACAGCAGGTGGATTGCCAGTGTTACTGTTTCTTGTGTTGGTCCTCACTTTAAACTCTGGGCAACAATGATTTAGTGAGAAGTGCCCTAACATTGTCACATTCAAGGGTCACTGCTACTTCCTTGATCAAGAGAACTTCTCTGGGACATTTCATTGGACCACTTCCCAGTGGTTTCCCTATTGTTCTACCCAAAGTGAAAACACCAAGGTTGAGTATTGGCCCCAAGAAGGAAGAACTCGATCTGTCCTTTGTTCTTGTATTGCTAGATACTGCACCATTTTACCCATTTATGTCCCATGTCCCAGGCACCTTATCTTTGAAGGCTCATTAAGAACTTAATCTGTTCTTTCTTTTCTGGGGGGGAGGGGTGTGGGCAGGGTTTCTCTATGTGACAGCCTTGGCTGCCTGAAACTCACTTGTAGACCAGCCTGGCCAAAAACTCATAAGAGATCCGCCTGCCTCTGCCTCCTGAGTGCTGGGACTAAAGGTGTGTGTGTTTTTTTCTTTATTTTTCTTTTTCGGTTTTGAGACAGGGTTTCTCTGTGTAATCCTGGCTGTCCTGGAACTGGCTCTGTAGACCAGGCTGGCCTTGAACTCATTGAGACCCACCTGTAATTTTATTGAGATTTGTTTTTTTTTGTTTTTTTTTTTTTTGTTTTTTTGATTTTTCGAGACAGGGTTTCTCTGTGGTTTTGGAGGCTGTCCTGGAACTGGCTTGGTATTCCAGGCTGGTCTCGAACTCACAGAGATCCGCCTGCCTCTGCCTCCCGAGTGCTGGGATTAAAGGCGTGCGCCACCAACGCCCGGCTGAGATTTGTTTTTATTATTTTATTTATTATTTTATGTGTATGAACATTTTGCCACATGTACGTCTATTCACTTTGTGTGTGGGTGCTTGAGGAGGTGGTGAGCCTCCGTGTGGGGCTGAGAATGGAAACAAGAGCAGATAATAGCACTTATGCTGTGGACATGTCTTTACAGGTACCAGCCCGAACAACCTAACCTGGTATACCAGATGGCCAGAACCACCGATGAGTTAGATCATGTAGACCAGAATGAGCTGGTCAGTGCCAGTGACTCCCAGACAGGCTTTTTACCAGTAGCTGAGAAGCTTTCTCTGAAAACCATACTCTCACCCAAGAATATGGAGCCATCCAAATTCTCAGGGCTAATTGTGAATGTTTCAGCAAGCCTCCTAGGTAAGACCTCCCTTTTTCCTGGGAAGGGGTTTGGAGTCTGGCTTCTTGGTGTTGTGTGGTTTCTAGTCCACAGGGATGAGAGCAGGGTTGGGATGGTGGAATAGATGGAAAATATGAGTGACAACAGCTTTTCATTGTCATTTAATTCATGATCTTGAAACAGGGTCTCCTTTTGGAAGATTTGGAAAGATATAATATATAATGGGAATTCTCCCCCACTCTTCTTTTTCTCTTTTAGCTATTCTTATCATCATCGTGTGCATTGTGGCCGTGCTCGCAAGAGAGGCTCTGGCTGAAGGGACGCTGTGGGCAGTCTTTGTAATGACAGGGTCAGTCCTCCTCTGCATGCTGGTGACAGGCATCATCTGGAGGCAGCCTGAAAGCAAGACCAAGCTCTCATTTAAGGTGAGCAGCCGGGCAGGCCTATAAGGAAGTTGATGGGTCACAGACATTGTTTTTCTGTTGGGAAGCTGAGCCTTTTTGGCTGGACCAGACCTGGGAATGTCCGGGAGGGGGGATAGCTCATGCCAGCTAAACTCAGGAACCCTTGGAACACAGAATGCCTTGCTAAGTCAGGGCTTGTCTCTAGAAACAGGAACCGCTCTGTTTCCCTGGTCCTCAGTGGGGCACACCTTGCCTCCAAGGACCTCTTATTAAATGTCCTGATGTCATGGCATTTCTTGGCATTGGAGGTGATCAAGGTATTTTCAGTTGTCAAATAATAGTAACCTTGGGAATAAAATGGACATCCATCTTCTAGTCCCTTTAGGAAGAATGTTTGGGCAATTCTGTTTGGAGCTGGCTGTTGAGTTTGCCACCTTCATCAGATGTGATTCTGCCTCATGTCTCTGCAGGTACCCTTTGTCCCCGTACTTCCTATCTTGAGTATCTTCGTGAATGTCTATCTCATGATGCAGCTGGATCAAGGCACATGGGTCCGGTTCGCAGTGTGGATGCTGATAGGTATGTGAGGTCATGAGTCTTGCTGAGTGACACACACTCATGATCCCCGCTTCTCCTGGAGTCTCCTGTGTGGGGTCGCTCATTCTCCCACCTGCTTCTTAGATGGATAGTTAAGGCTGCAGAACCTGCCTCCTTCACTTATGCTAACACAAAGATACATGAGTAGTCAGTGACTTGTTCTAAAACAACATTGAATTCTCGGTATGTTGTGGGACCTCTTTTCTCTTTAGAGACTTTTAATAGGCTGTTGCCCAAGATAGTTCTCTCTCTAGGCTTGGCATTTAAAAAGTGTGGGGTATGAGGGCTAGTTATTCACCAAGCACCAGCCTCTAGTCTAGGCTGTACCTGCTTGGCCAGCACCCCGTCTGTATGGGCTCTAGGCTCTTCAGAGTACCTATGCTAGCAGGGCAGCACGTGGTGAGGCATACTGTCACGTGGGTGGCTCCTGATGGGCTGGCAGAAGACAGCCAGGGCTTGATGCTACTTGGGGTCTAGGTACAGTTTAGGCTGGGGTTGCCTGCTTGGGTGCTGGCCAACCTTCACTAAGGTTGATGGTGTGTGCCCCCACCCCATCCCCCCACTCCAGGCATCTAACCTTGGGGCTGTAGGAGCTGGGTTCAGTCCTTTGTGTTCAGCGCCTGGGTTGTGGTGCTGGCAGCCTGGGGGACTAGTCTTGATGTGTATTCTGGGGCCATGCCCTTGACGAGCCTTTCAACCCTAGGATCCTGGGAGCTCTGAATAGCACCTTTCACCTTTTCTTTGTACATTCCGGGAAAAGTTCCTCATTTGCTTTAAAATCTAAGCGCTGCCCACAGCCCACTAGGACCCATTTTTGGTTGTGGAGGTGTGGGGATGCGTACTCCCGACATCCCGGCAGAGGTGCCTGTGTTGTAGGGTGTGAAGCCATTTCCTGGACTCCAGGCACCGGGAGCCCTTCAGGACTGCATTCCTATGTGGGTTGCACAGGTGGCCCTGAGCCATGTGGTCACAGTCCCTTGTGGGTCTCTCCAAGCACCGCTGCAGATGTGGGGGCCCTGGATGCCCGTTCAGTGCTCTGCATCCTGTGCTCACTACGTTTCCTCGTGTTGACGGTCTTCTTCGGTCTACGGGCTACTCACGTGAAAGGAAGGAAGGGAGGGAGGGAGAAGGAAGAAAGAGAGAGAGAGACAGAGAGACAGAGAGAGACAGAGAGACAGAGAGAGAGACAGAGAGACAGACAGAGAGAAAGACAGAGAGAGAGAGAGACAGAGAGAGAGAGAGAGAGAGAAAGAGAGAACGCAAGCCAGTAGGCCAATCTGGGCAGAGCACCTGCTATAAGTCCCACTCTGGGAAGGAACAGTGTCTCTCCTGTACTCTGAGGCCACCTAGTGGCAGACAACAGCCCAACGTCCTGCTGCTCAGGGAGGCCCGCGTGTGACCACGCACGTGGCTCTGATGCAGTGGCAGCAGGACAGTGACTTTGGCTGACCTCATGCCTGGGGCCCTGTGTTGCCTCTCGAGGTGTTGGAGTCTGCCTGGGCAGCCCCCTGTACCAGTCTGGGTCTGGCAGTCCTGCCTGCTTTCTTCACACCTCTGTTCCCTCTCTACCCGTAGGCTTCAGCATCTACTTCGGTTACGGACTGTGGCACAGTGAGGAGGCGTCCCTGGCTGCTGGCCAGGCAAGGACTCCCGACAGCAACCTGGACCAGTGCAAATGATGTGAAGTCCCGCCCACCAAGGTGGCAGCGGTTGAGAGGTGCCCATAGAGGCCTGGGACCCTCACACTCTCTCCACCCGCGCTGCAGGATCCGCTCACATCCCCAACGTCACCAAAGGTGCTGTGAGCTGGGCTGCAGCCTCGGCCACAGCCGGCATAGCCTGGCCAGACAACCCTGCAGCCAGCTCACGAGGTCCTGCCTGCTTCTGGGCAACTCCTCGTTTTCATGCCCCTCTGAACAAAGAAAGCAGCCCTTTTCCCTGCCGGCTGGGCGCTTTGCTGCTGCAGCCCCAGCAAAAGGAAGCCCCCTTCTCCTCTTCCTTGGGAAGCCGGCCTCCCTCCCTGGGACCACCCTGGTATTGCTCACGTGCACGCTCCAGACCCTTGGTGGGCATCTCTCTGTCAGCCCAGTCAGGACAGACTCCCAGCCACAAGACGAAAGACTAGCCCTGTGCCAGGGCGTGTCCCCAGCAATGCTGTCCAGCTGCCAGTCAGCTGCAGAGGACCTGAAGACGAGGGACTGACTCATCTTACTGCTTCGGGGCTGGGGTCCACACACCCTTTCCCAGCCTCTGCGACACTGACAGACCCCAGCACGGTGTAGGTCATCCACAGAAGATGGGAGGTCCCTAGAGAGATCAGTGGTGTCGAGGTGGGAAGGCCACCTCTGCTCACACGGACTAGGGGACATTCTCTAGTCCTGCTCCTAGCAGGGCCTGGAGCGGCCTCTGCCTCTCTTGGCATCAGCTCTCCCTGTCCTGAGTCACTGGAACATGAGGTCGTAATAGCAGGCTTGAGTCAGGCTCTTGGGTCTTCTAAGGTTCTTCAGACAGGTGGCAGCTCAATGTGGGGTCGTGACGCTTTTCTGGCCACTGACACGATCCATGTGGCCTCTTACATCTAAGGAGTGCTGTGGAGCCCTCCTGTTGCTTGCCATGAATCACTCCACCAGATTAAGTTGGGGCTTAATGTTACCTTGGAAAATGGCCAGATGATTGCCAAATGCACACGGCTAGCTTGGGGTTCTATTGCTATTCCTCTTGTGTTCTCTGTCTTTCAAGTGCTGTGGCGACTTTGCCTGCTGCTGGTGAGGTTCCCACCCTGGCCTGGATCTTATGATCCCTGTGTATGCCTGCATTTCCCCTCCCCCACATCCCTCAACTCTCCGGGTGGGGCATTAGGGCCTGCACTATTTCACCTACTCTGTGTAGACAACCCAAGGATGATGAGAGTGCTAATGGTGTCTCATTTTGGAGCCATTCAGAGCCAGTCCTCCAACCCCCCATATTGGGGTGGGAAGGCCCGTGTTTTTAGACTAATGTAAATGATGTTTTGAACCCTAGCTTTCTTTTCCGTCTGGCCTTTGACACAAGTCTGGTGGAAACAGGCAGGATAACCTGATGACGCTCTCTTCTTCTCTTCTCTAGAAGGTTCTTGGTAATCCAAGGTAGCGTGTAGCCTACTTACTATATGCTACAGGCAAGGCACTTGCTTAGCATATGCAGGGCCTCAGGTTCCGTCTGCAGGACTACACAAAATTAGGGAATTAGTGAAACAGCCTGGAGGCTGGATCAGCTAATGGAGGGCGGCCAACCCAGGCCTTTGTGTGGGGCCCTGACCACCTTCTGGGTGCTTTGCCTCATTGGCTGAGAACATTTCAGAGGGAGTATTGTAAGACCCTAAAGGTTGAGTTTCCAAAGAGAGGTATTTAAATTTATGTAGATTGGTGCTGTAAAATATTTTGATAAGTATTAACTTATATTGTTCAGGTCTTGATTATCTGTTGTCTTCTTAGGGCCTGTTAAATAGTTGTCTGATTTTTTTCCTTTTAATTTTTCTAACTAGACAGAGAGGAAGAGAGTACCCACTGAGGTATTGGGAGATTTTTTTTAACTTTAGTTTTTCTTCTTTGGTTTCTTTTTTTGAGATAAGGTTTCATTCTGTAGCTGGCCTGGACTTCGGTGATAGTAGCCCAGGCTATCCTCTGCCTCAGCCCCCTGAGTGCTAAGATTATAGGTCTGAGGCAGCACTCCTGCTTAACTGTCATTGTTTTCTGGGTGAGACCTTCTATCCAAGGCAGCCTAACATCGTGTTTACAGTTGACATCTCAGCTAGCAGCCTATAACCCACCAGCAGGGAGCTGTATTTAAGGGTTTGGTCCCCCACCATCTCTCCTGAGGACCGCTAATGGCGGCAGATCTGCACCTCTGTGTCTCACTGTGTGACACAGAAGCACACACGGGTCCCGGTTGTTGGGGGCTTCCTGTACCCACTCCTTAGTCAGGAAAAGATGCTCAAGGGTGACTTGTGTAGTAAGTTTGCTAAAAGTGGACAGTTGCCAGGAGAGCTTTTTTGGGAGGGAGACACAGGAGCAGTGACACACAGAGTACTTCCTGGAGTGAGCTTCTAATATGCTCTTTCTCACACCATCAGGTCCTTCTCCTGAAAGGAAAATATTCAAGCCAAAGCCCAAAGCAAGACACACTAACAGCAATCCCTCAGAACCTGGTAGGTAGTGTCCCATCTCTTAGCCCCCTACCCACAGAAGGGTCTTACTCTGTTGCTCAGCTTGACCAATATCGCCTACCTAGTTGGGACACGGGCGCTCTAAAGACATCCCAGCTAGAGTATCCACATCAGAAAGACCTGTTTTTCCATGAGTGTGTGCTCTTCCTGTCTCTGGGTCTAAGACCTTGAAGAAACCAATACCCAGGAAACTCCACTTAGGAGTGGGATACAAGATGTCTCCACCTTCCAAAAGGTGGCCTGGTGGAGAGGGGGGTGCTTTTTATAGAGACACTGTCCCCCGCCCCGTGCATATGCATGGAAGCATGCATACACTCCCATGCCTATACCCCATCTCTGCCCACACTCTACAGCCAGGCCATTGTGGGTCTACAAACAAAGAAAAAGTAGAGTCCTGTCCCAGACAGTTCTCTGGGAAATTACTGGGTTTATATTGTTCCTGGTTGCTCACAGTTTGGTTTTTACGGTGGCAAATACCCCATCATCTCATACCTTCATCTGATAGCCATCCAGTCCCCTGTGCTGATGAGGTGGTTTGGGCACCATGTGCCAACCATCTGCCTCGGGCTTGGTGTCCAGAAGTGACTGCCGGACTGTGGGAGACATTAGGCTTCTCCACCTGCCCTTAGTGGCCAAGGGTTGGATACACTCCTTCCTGCACATTTGGCTCAGACAGCGTGTACACACCAAGAGAATATGTAGCCCATTCCGCCCCGTCTACCGCCTGCTGCTTTTCATGCATAGGGCTGGGAAAACTAGTGGGTATGTCTGTTCCTTGCCCCCTGACCCCAGGCAAACATTATGACTTGGCCAGTGTTTACAGTCCCCTCTACCGAGGAATTCATCTAATGCAGGTTGAAACAGCAGGGTGAAAAACTGGTTCCTGAGATATGTGGGCATGTCCCACAGGCCCACCCATACCTGTAGGCAAAGTTGTAGGCACTGCTGGTCTGTGTCCCTACAATGAAAACATGCCTGGCTCTCTCTGAGGCCCATCCTCGCCAACTGTTCTGTTGGCAGCCTAGCACTAAGGGAGCTTAGTAGGGATCTTAAGTGCCAGGGTGGCCATCCCTTGGGGTGTTGGCGAGTGGTGGGCAAAGGAAGTTTGGGTTCACATCTGGTTGAGCTCCTAGCAAAGGGAGTCACTGGACAGAATACAGAACACATGGAACTGTTACAGAATTCAAATTCAGAACTGAATGTATGTTATGTACAGTTGTTTTATGTAATTCAAACCTTATGTTTGCTGTCGTAATGAGAAGATTGTATGCAAGGCTCCTTGAGGGAGAGCAAGCTATTTCATTAGGCTTGTTTTGGGTCACAGTGGTGACACAATGGTGTGGTTGCAAATTGCTACACTCCTTAGGCCAATTTGGTCATGATGGATTTTTTTAAGGCAAAAATGTTTTACCGGCTGGCTCTCACCTCCCTCACTCTAATCCGGTCTTTTTGTACCCACTGCTCCATTGAGCTGGGGAATATGGTGTGGCCAAGGGTCTTGGGACACAGTGACCAAGGAGCCCGCCTGAACCATTCTGTTCTGTGTGTTGAATGGCTGGTTGAAAAGCCCAGGGGAGATGAAAGACCACATCCATACATGTTCTCAGGGTGCTGGCGTGTCCAGCAGGACCAGGAAGCAAGGTTAAGAAGACATATATGGACTAATTTATTGACAAGGATTACCTTTGTGTTCCTTGCCAAGCTTTTTGAGTTTGGGACTTATTTTCCCATTTGAGAAGTTATTATATATATATATTTAAGAAATTTCCTGTTTCGTTTGTGCCTTGCAGCGTCGATGGGTTAAGGATCACAAAGGGTCGTGATACTGATGAGGGTTGGTTTATTATCAAACCTGAATAGTTGTGGTTTCTCCGGAACAACTTTTTTTCCTTCTACTGAACATGGAGCCATTGTTAAAAGAATTATGTGTGGTTTTTTTCATTATGTAAATTGTATATATTTTTTTGCTTGTTTGAGGTTCTATTTTTCTAATAGTCTTCTTGCAGTTTCTTATAATGGTGACATTAGATTAAGACTGATGCTAACTGTAAATCAAGCTGGTCTCTGCTGGATTTCCGTGGCTTACTTATATTTTATTTTAAGGCCAAGCACAGGTTCATCTATCGCCTTTTTTAAAAATGTGAACCTTATGTTTCCCCTCATTGCTGAATACATTGTACACTGGCAACCCCCCTCCCATATGCCTATGTTGTAAACTCAAAGCTATTTTGTGGTACATTATCTCGTGCTTCTGCAGATGCTAATAAATCCTGTCTGGCTTTCCACGAACACTGTGTGATCTCAGGTGTGCCAGCAGCTCTTGGATGGTCCCTGAGCATGCTCCAGTTTGAAGGTCAAGGGCCTGCGTGGCACCATCAGTGTCTTTCCACTGCATTGCACATGGCTGGGGGCCTCGGTTGTTCTAGAAGCCATTTGGGAAAGGCTTTAGGCCTGTTCTTCTAGATCCTTGCTGTCTCCCCTCTTCAGCCCTCCAGACTCACCTGGATTCAGGGCTGCAGAGTTCACCAGTCATCAATCTTAAACTAGAGGACTTTGGTCTCAGCAACCCCCTCAAGTTCACAGACACCAGAGGCTTGCCCTGCCTGCCACACACCAGCCTGGAGGAAACAGGTTTTGTGCAGGCTGGGGATAAGATTGTAACTCATTTAAGGATGAGTGAAATCTCACTCTAGGGAACTCTAGGGAAGGGCACACCTTTCATTCATTCATTCATTTGTGGCACAGGAGGCAAGTTCAGCCAATTGGGCTTTCAGGCCCTACATGGAGAACAGCGATTCATAGACTGGCATGGGGCTGGAAGCTAAGCTTTAACCTTTGTGTATTCCCAGGTGATAGTGGTGACTGCAGGCACCCAGGGATGTAATTCTGGCACTAGGCACCAGAAATAAGTATCAGGAACCTGTAAGGGTGCAGATCACATATCTGATGTTCCTCAACTGAGGGAAAGGGGTATTTATCCCAGAGGGGGGAAGGACTGCCTCTGTATGCAGGGGAGAGAGCTGTAGCCCATAGGCAAATGGCAGTTTATAAAGGTAAAATGGGAAACCCCATCTTAGGATGAGGTGTGTAATTTTAATTGGGCATGTTAATTAGGTGAGCCAGAGGGGGCTTTTGATTGCTGAGTTTCAATACTTTGATAGCTGGACGTTGGTAGTGAGTCCCAGGAGGAGGGATTGGCCGAATAAGGGAATGGACCTTGGGGGCTAGCTTTAGGAATGTAACCTAAGAGTTTTTTAGCAAGGCAGAGGGAATGGGGAGAAGGGCAAGGCCTGCTGGAGCCACATACTCGAGTGGGCTAGAGTCCCTTCATTGATCACCTGGGGGAAGCATACTCCTGAGCTCCAGCAGTATAAAAACCGTGATGTGCAGTATTGGGGATACCTCTACTGTGGTGCAGTTACTGTTTGGGGGAGGGCAAGAATTATTCCAGTCCCATTTCCCAGGAGTCACCTGGGGAATACCCCCATACATCCTGGAACCTGAAGGAAGCTGTCAGCCAAGCATGGATATGCACACCTTTAATCCCAGCACTCTGGAGGCAGAGGCAGGTGGATCTCTATGAGTTCAAGGCTAGTCTGGTTCTATAAAGCAAGTTCCATGACAGGGCCACATAGAGAAACCCTGTCTTAACCCTACCCCCACCCCCCAAAAGCTACCACTTTGGCCAGTTTGACTTGGGCTAAAAGCAATAGGGGCCCTGTTCCTGCAGCTCCCCAGTGCCATCTAGTGGGCGACATTGGGTGCTACGCTCGTAGCCTTTAAAAGCAAGCAAAAACATCAGCAATTTTCAGAAAACCCTTTCTATTGTGAGGTCTGGATGGGACATCTTTTGAAGCAAACTTCCCCTCACCCTGTTTAGTTATCAAGCACTTCCAGTGAGTCCTATCAGAATTCAAAGATTTGAAGAATCTGTATGGCCCCATAGTCTAGGGAGCTGCTGTATCTTCCAACTGCATCTGCCAACTACACAGACCTGGGCAGAGTATAAGGCTGCAGTTGGGGGTGGAGGGGGGCGTTGAAATGACTGTTGTAACCTGTCAGCCCCTGATCAAAGGGAGTTCTTTCATGTCTCTGAGTTAAGCTTGTCCAGCAGGCTAGAAACACAGTCTGCTTGTGCCCACATGCACAGTTGAGGCAGACCCCAGAGTGGGCAGGCACCGGACCTGATCACCATGTGTGAGGGCTCAGGGAGTCAGGAGACCAGAGTCATTCATTGGTACCATTCACTAATGTAGCACCTGTTTTGAGAACGTCCTAAAACACCAACCATCGGGAGGGTGCCATCGATGTCTGGGTTCCTACTTGACATGATACAGGTCTCCCACACAGGTGAGCCAGGATCATCAAGGCTCCTTGATCCAGAAAAGGTGACGGGTTGGAGTCCCAAGTTTCCTCTGCTTGCAGTGAATCAGCCATAGGAGGGAAGACAGTTTCCCACAGCTGGTATCAATCATATTTCCTGAACGTGCCAGGGGCTGAATCACCACCCTTTATAAACGTAGATGCTGGGATGAGAACAATGAATAGTGGCTACTACAATGTGGGGGACACTCTATAACCCTGGAGAAACCAAGAGTGTAGGACAAGTTGTGCATTAATCAGTAGGTTTCTGTCCATTATTTGGGAAGTTTGGCTGACTACAGGGGACCCTGGGGGTTCATCATGAGGTCAAGAGGTGCCATGAACACGGGGTGGGGGGCACTCATCAGCTACCGCTTAAAAGAGCAGACTCGTGGTCTTCCCCCAATTCCCATGCATCCCACCAAAATGAATACAGGGAACTGGAAAATTCAGGTCTCCCTTGTGACCCTCAAGCAATGCTAGGCTGTGAGACTCTCTAGGGTCAGGCTAGGTTGAGCAATCTGGCCACAGTCCAAAACTGGTGAGATGGGAAGAGTGGCTGATTTCAGATTGGAATATGCAAATGTGTATCTTGGCCACTTGGGGTGGATTGACTAAGCACATATGACCATACATTTGAGTGCTCTGTCCCCAGTTGGTGGACTGCTGGGAAGGCACACAGATGAGTCCCAGAGCAAAGGAATCTGGAGACTTTTCTTGGGGTATAAAAATACCTTGCTTCCTTCCTTGTCTGGCATCCCAAGCCTGATCGGGACATGTCTGTTGCTCCACACATCACATGGATATCATGGAAAATCTCTCAGGTTTGTTTTAATAAGCTTTAGAGTTCAACACAAATATAGAACACAGAAACTGGAGGGGCAAGAAAAAGAACATTGTGCCCCTTCAGCTAATCCCAGAGTACTGGACCCCAAGCCACACCCCCATCCTGACGTCACCACTACCTGTTCCCAGCCCATGGCGAGTGAGTGGGAGTAGGCCAGCAGGACCTCCTAACTCCATAAAGACCCTAGGAGTGTTTGACAGGTCCTTCTGTGGCAGGAGGGGAGGATGCAGTGTCCCAGCCTAGGGATGAGGACAGACACAGATTCCCACGCTGAGAGGTCCAGGTCATAGCAGCATGGAGACAGAAGGATCATGGAAGAGGCGCAGCAGCTCTGGCCACCCAGATCTCAGGACTCAATTCAAGTGGGGCACCGTACGTGAGAGGTGTCTGTGATGGAGAAACAAAGCCAGGGCCATGGGGAAGTTTGTTCAAGTACCCAAGGTCGAGGCTGATAGGGGCAAAGCTCTAGTCCACCTAACGAGGGTACATAGTTCTAACACTGCTACCACTTGGACCACAACAGCCTAACATACTGTACCACATTCTATGCTCACATCAAAGTCTGTATTGCTGAGTACCCACCATCAGCAGGTACACCTGTGGAGGCAGGTCCTAATTCGGAGAGCTAAGCAGCCACCCAACTTATGTCTGCAGGTCGCGCCTGCTATAAGAATTAAGAACTGTGCATTGAACTGACAGGCATGAGCTACTCTTATGGAATGCCCAACTTGGTATCCCAGTATCATGCAGAGCCAAAGGAAGAAGACCTGTTTCTTTGATGTGCATCTACTGCGTACGTCTCCAGAATGGGCAAGACCCACGGAGGTTGACTACAGTCAGATGCACCTGAAATCAGGAAGCCCAACTTGGAGCCACAGGACAAGCTGACACCATCCCCAGGCTGTTTCTTCCTGGTTCAATGGCTCTTCTCATCTAGGGCATGCTCAGACTGGCCCATGCTTAGGAAGTGAAGGGTCTTTGTCACATAAGGAAACAAAGGTATCATTATCACCACTGTATTGACTGATACAACTACTTCTCTTCTGTGGGTCATGCTTCTAATCTTCCATAGCACTACATGAATACCTTTCATGTTCTAATTCTACCATCTTAGAGACAAAGACCAGTCCAGCAGCTGCTGGCCACTGGCTGGCTGTTACACTGGCCTTCCTTATTTGGGAGAGCCTTCCGGGGTTAAGATGGGACCACAGCCGGGTGTAGCCCTGGTGACCCTCCATCAGAAAGGACATGATCTAGCACCTTTAGAACTGACTCCCCGCCACCCGAGACAGAAAGGTTGGTTTCTGGAAGCCCTGACTAGAACCCCTGAGCCATCTTGATGTGTGGTGGTGGGGCTGAGTCAAAGAACCAAACTAAAGATGGGGAGTGTTGCCTGCGAAGGGCAATGACCGGAAGACACGTCCTTATTCTGGGCCTGCTCAAACATGGCCCCTACCAGCATTCTTCCTTCATCATTAGGATGGACCATGCATGGTATAGCCTTTCTCCAAGTTCAAGCTCATCTTCACTACAAAGGTCACACTCCTCCGTGTCTTCCTGAGGATGCGATCATAGCTTGATGATGAACTCCAAGATGCTGTTTAGGGTGTGGAGGGGAAGCTAAATTTGTGTTTTCAAAACTGTAGTGTATCACTAAGGGGAAAAACATGGGCCAAACCACTGGACTCCTCAGTGTTTCCCCTGCTACATTTCATCCTCTCAGGATGGGAAGGGTCATAATTAAATCTTGCAATGGGGTAACAGGGACCCCACTAAGAAGCTAATTGCTCCAAAGGCAGTTACCATCTACAAATCGCTGGTGTTTATGTTAAGCAGGGTACCACTTGGCGGCAGATAGACGTGCTTCTATCTTTTTTTTTTCCATTTTTTCTTCTCTATTTTGGGTAGAAATATTTTCAGGAAACTAGATAGAAATGCATTTTCATTTCCCAATAATTCTTAGACACAACTTAGAAAACTGCTGACCATCACTAAAATATGTCAGCACATCATGTTATAAAAAATGCAATTCAGAATCGCCACATGTGTATATCCACATGTCTGAATATACCCACACAGGATAAGGAGGGTTTTGTGTATTCAAAACGGAGCTGTTTGCAACTGACCTACACTTTTGCTGTGAAAGTTCAACGCTCAAGAACATTTGGAGTTCGCTTTTGCCTCTAACTACACTAAAACATTTTTGGACACAGGAATCTGCTGCCTACACCTTTCTAAGTGCCAATACCAGGACGGTCTCACACAGGGGTCAGAGAGGACGCCGCTAAGATGTAGATGCAGCTACTGAGCATGCGCACTGGGCGGTCCCCAGCACCTGGCCAGCACTCCCTCCGATGGACAGAAGCCTGAGCTCCTGTGGGTGGCAAAGCGATGTCATCTAGGTGTGGTGCTGACTCTGGCTGGAGAGGAGGGTCCAGAGGAAGAGCCTCTGTATACCGGGGATGTCGGGGACAATTTAATCGGGCTGGTTGGGTCCCCGGTTTGGAGCTTCCAAAGTAGTTCTTCATTGGTTCTGCTCAGTCTCTTCTTTTCCTGGGTCTCTTTCTCCACGTATTCCTGGAGATTAGCATTTTCCTCCGACAGTTGTCTGCATGGGGGAGAATAATGGTCAGGCAACAGGCCTACCAATGACAATCAAAGCAGGGTGGTGGGCAGAGGACACAGCTCACAGCTCTCTGCTGAGCTAGGGGAGGTGGTGCTTGTGCTCAGAGCAAAGGCTAGGGGCTGGAGTACAACGGATGGATGGAGATGTGGGCAGTATGGGCATGCTGCTAGAGGAGAAGCTGCCTTATAGAGATGGAGGTTGCCCATGGCTACGGTCGGGGTACTGACTGACAGCTGCCAATCAGCTGGGGATATCTTCCCATCATCTCCTGCCCTGGGTCCATGCTTCCATAACCAAAGTCTTTAGCTCTTCTGTGGAGCTACCTGTCTGCTGGACCACAAGCCCTAGAGAGCAGGATCAAGGCTCTGTTACATTCTTGACTGCCACTCAACATTGTACCCCAAAACCAGATGCCTGCTCGATGTTTGTTGATAAAGCGGGAAGAAAATCCAGTCCTGTGTGCAAGCGTGTGTGTGTGTGTGTGTGTGTGTGTGTGTGTGTATACACCCATGAGCATGTGTGCACGTGTATAATGTCATGATGCTTAAGTTGCTGACCTGGTTGCATGTTTTTAATATTTTTTTTAAAAAGCTATATAGGTGGTTTGCCTGCATGCATGTCTGAGAACCACTTGTTTCAGTGCCTTTGGAGGCCAGAAGAAGGCATTGGATCCCCTGGAACTAGAGTTACAGAGGGTTGTGAGCAGCTATCTGGGTGCCAAGAATCAAACTTGGGTCCTCTTGAAGAGCAGCTAGTGCTCTTAACCACTGAATCACCTGTCTAACTCATTTTGTATTTTTGAAAATGACAGCCTCTTCAGTGAATTATCAGGAAGTACAAATACATTTTACAACTGGATGGGCTAAAGTGCAGAAATGGTGCTCTGGGCCAATGCCTGCACTTGCTGTCTGAGGAAGGCAGCTAGGTATGTGTAGGCATGTGAGCAAATGGTATGTAAGTGAGTGTATATGTATGAGAGTGTGAGTGTGAGTATATGAGTGTAGGCGAGAGCATATGTGTGCATGTGTACACGGGAGTGTGTACACATGTGCTTGTGCGTGTATACACAGGATGATACATAATGGCTGCATTATGTATGGAGGAGACTGGTCCAGTTGAGTGGGAAAGGCTCAGGCCTGAATCTCAGTGCTGTAGAATAATCTTTTCATACACTGTGGAGACGTGCCTTTGCCAAGGCGCCTTCTGATTGGTTTAACAAAGAGCTGAATAGCCCATAGCTAGGCAGGAGAGGTTAGGTGGGACTTCCAGGCAGAGAGAGAGAGGAAGGGGAGATGAATTAAGGTGCCAGAGAGACACCAGAGGACATGAAGAGGAGACAGGAGGTGCAAGATGGAAGAGAGGTAAAAAGCCATGAGGCAAAACATAGATTAATATGGGTTAATTAAGTTATAAGAGCTAGTGGGAGAAGCCTAAGCTACAGGCTGGGCTTTCATAATTAATAATAAGCCTGTGTCATTTTTTCTGGGGCGGGGAGCTGGCTGGCAGGACAGTAAGTGACTGGTTACACATTAGGGTGACTGAGTCTTGCTGAACAAAATAACCTGCAGCTGGCCTCCAAGCTCTGTTTTCAGCCCACTCTGAGCTGGGGCCAAGGGGGATTCCTGATCCTTCCTTGGAAGCTGGGCTCCTGAGAGAAGATCCTGCAGGGACAAGCTAACCTGAGCCCTGGGAATCTACCTAGCCATGGTTCTTTTTAGCCCAGGGACACCCTGCTGATGCCCCTCTCCCAATCTCCAGGAAACAATCACAGCCCCTGCTGTGGAGCCCCTGCTGCCCTTACTTGTGGTCTGAACTGTCTCGTCCCAGGGATGGTCCGATATGATGCACAGCCAGGCTGAGCACTGAGGGGACACAGCCATGTGCTTTCCTTTTGCCCATTTGAGAGGCGCCAGGTTATTGGGGCTGGACACCGGGACATACAGATTTTCAAGGACATGGAATCAGCAGCCAGGTGTACCTACCTGGTGACAACCGTGTTCTGGTCAATCCTGGCCTTGAGGTCTTCGTTCTGCTGCTGGAGAACTTGGATCTTTTCTTCCAGGATGATATTCTTCTCCACCTAGGAGAGGGACACTACTGAAGAAACTCCCACAGGTAAGCAGCGAGCCAGCGGCCCTGACTTGTTACACTTGGGAGGATTGTCAGGAACAGTAAGTACTTCACTGACTGCTTTCTGCAATGGCCTTGTGGGCTGGAAAGTCAGATGAGGTGGATAAGGGGCCAGCATTTCACTTTTCAAAAACAAAACAAAAAAAGGAAGAGAAAATGTCAGACTGCACTGAGGTAGTAAAAAGCACAGTGGCAGAAATTTTAGGTGTGTGTGTGTGGGGTGTGGCAGAGACAGAGAGGCAGAGAGAGCTCAGTGTGTGTGTGTGTGTGTGTGTGTGTGTGTGTGTGAGAGAGAGGGGGGGGGGACAGAGAGGCAGAGAGAGCTCAGAGTGTGTGTGTGTGTGTGTGTGTGTGAGAGAGAGAGGGGGGGCAGAGAGGCAGAGAGAGCTCAGAGAGTTCCAGGCACACAATTTTGTTTTCTGCTTTTGTTGTTGCTTTTTAAAGTGAATGTTCCTGGTCACTGTCATGGTCAGAGGCGAGCTGTGGATACCACCAGGGCCTTGTTGGACCAGTGGGCATGGCGATATATTATTTATGATTTAATAAAGCTTGCCTGAGTATACAGAAAGCAAAGCCAGCCACACTAGTTAGCTATAGAAGCCAGGTGGAGGTGGTACACAGCTTTAATCTCAGAGGCAGACAGATCTCTGTTAGTTCAAGGCCTCACGGAACTACACGAAATTGATCCGGTCCTAGAGAGAAACAGCTCACATAAAGATGATCTCAGCACTTGGGATCACACACCTTTAATCCCAGCACTAGGGAGGTATAAAAGGCAAAGGGTCTCATGTGGAGATTGATTCTCTAGTCACACTGAGAAGAGGCAGCAGTCTGAGAGGCTTTAGGAGAGCTTGTGGAGACAGGATCAGCCCTCTCAGTCTAAGGTAGAGGTAAGAGCTAGTGGTTTGGCTGCTTTGCTTATCTGATCTTCAGCTTGAAGTTTGAACCCCAATATCTGTCTCTGGTCCTGTGGTCATCTGTAGTGAATCATTGTCCCTTGCCAGGTGCCTCTCAGGACTTCTGAATTAGCGGGACAAGAGAGCCAAGTTCTGTGGGGACATTTTTTCCTTTCTGGCCAGAAACACAAAGCAATGAAACCCAGAAGCCTAGGGGATCTTCCTGTTTTGAAAGATATAGAAGCAAAGGCCAATTTAAAAAACCTAGGGTGGAGGCCTTGGCACCCTGTTGGGAAAGCCTGTTATGGCTGCTGTCAGTCTGTCACTGTGGGATCTTGCTGACATGGCATGCTTTCCTTCTGTGTTTAGAATTTTTTTAACTAGGGTTCACTCTGTAGCCCCTGTTGGCTGGAACTTGCCATGTGACTCAGACTGCCCTGGAACACATGACAATCTTCCTGCTTTAGCTTCCCAGCTGCTGCAATGACTGGGGTGAGCCACTAGGCCTGGGCTGTCTTGTGAAAGAGGGAAGGAAGCACACTGATTGTTCACATGGCTGATCTTTAAAGAAAACTGCCACTTGCCCATGTATAGGACTTGGGGATCCTTGCCAAGGACTGGGGCAAAGCACCCTGTCTGGCCTCCATCTTTATTCCCAGGATAGCAGGAAATAACAGATTCCTGGGCCACGGAGTCCTGTAGGCCTCCTGCCAGCCAGATTTGCAACTGATTAACAGAACCAGCTAGCTGAGCATAGTGAGATCAGCACAGGGGCTTGTGGGTGGCCCTATGCAGACAATCCAGTCACCAAGAGGAAAACGGCAGCTTTGAGAGTCCCCCTAAACAGAATATGTGGCAGTATCAGGTCACTGCATCCCCTGTGGTCAGTGCTAAAGTGCTGGGCTGCTGGGATGAGTCATGTGTCCCCCATTTACCAGGACTCTGGTAACAGACACACCTGTCTTCCCATTGCCTAGCATGTACCTGTGTGACAAGGGATGCCTGCAGGCAGAGAGCAACACATGGGCCAAATGCAGCAGCTGCTGCCCGGTCAGCTCCTGGCTCGGTTAATCAGTTGCAAAGAATGTTCCAGAGACAAACAGAGATGAAATGTCGAGTAACTAACGCACATGTGATCTCAGTACTCAGGTGGTAGAGGCAGGAGGATCACAACTTTCAGACCAGCATGGACTACACAGCAAGACCCTAGCTGGAAAAACAAAAACAAAACAAAAAAAGCTGTTCATTGAAAGTGGGCTATAGAACATTGTACAAGACAAGATACGGTGTGTGTGTGGGGGGGTATCAAGATACACCTCTAAGAAGTGTTAGTAGTAGAAGGAATGTGATTTTTGTTTTGTTTTGTTTTCTTGAGACAGGCTCTCTCTGTGTATCCCTGGCTGTTCTGGAACTCAACTCTGTAGACCAGGCTGGCCTTGAACTCACAAAGATCCACCTGCCTCTGCCTCCAGGAGTGCTGGAATTAAAGGTGGGGCTAGAATATATCTTAATTTTCTTATTTTGTGTATCTTATTTTATAATTTCCTATAATGTACATGTTCTCTCTTCCTTTTTATAGTAGCAAATAGTTATTTTAAAATAATAAACAAAGGGTCTGGAGAGATGGCTCAGTCACTAAAAACATGTATGGCTCTTGTGGACCTGAATTTTTGTTCCCAGCACACATGTCAGGCAGCTCATGACCACCTGTAACTCCAGCTCCAGGGGGATCTGATGCCCTCTTCAGGCCTCAGTAGGTACAACACTCACATGCACATACTAGCACACAGTTGTGCACATAAAGACATAATTTTAAAAAACTTTAATAAAGAAAAAAATTAACAAACTATTTGGGGCTTTGGACCCTACAGAGGTCGGTATCTCCACACCATGAATCCCTTTTCCCTGGGCTAGTTCCCAGGAACCAAGCTGAGGACTGAGGTACAAAGCCTTTGTTATAAACTGGATGTTCCTATCCCTCCTCGGCAGCTATGCTGAAGCCCCCTCTATGAGGTGACAGTACCAGGATGTGGGGTCTTTGGAGGTGACTGGCTCATGAAGGTGGACCCCCATGACCGAGATCTCTGCTCCTTCTGCCACATGAGGATTTGGGGACCTTCCACCAGGGATGCCACGTGGGTTCAACCACACACAGCCTGGGTGCAACTGTGCTTTCTGAGGCTTCTCTCTTGTGCTCATGGCAGCACAGGCGAGCTATCGGGAAGGCAGGGCAGAGCTCTGCCCAGGCCTGGTGCACGGCACAGTTCCCGTGCCGCCTCGGTGGTGGAAGGACTTGGCAAAGACTAGTGAAGGAGCAAAAGGAGGCACTGGAGCTCCTTGTCAGAAGCCCCGTGGTGTGACAGGGGCTTCCGGGCACAGCTATGTGTCCTGTTCACCTGTGAACGACAGGCAGGGGGGACACGCCTCCTGAGCACTGTCATCCGTGAGGACACCGAGTCACAGCGGCCAGGCTCTGGAGCAAGCAGAGCAACTCACCAGCTTTTCCAGCTCTATGATCTTCTTCTCCTGCAGGTGGATTTGCTGGTTCTTCATCTCCAGCACCTGCTTCAGGCTCTGCATGTCTTCTTCCAGGTGCTGATAGGGAGCCAGGGCAAGCTGGGAGGGCGGAAAGGGCGCACTGTAAGCCAGGTTCCTGGCGCAGCCCACTGTGACCCAGCGTTATGAAGCTGGCTTGGTGTGGTGCTGTCATGCTCCAGTGTGTGGCCACAGCATCTGTGAGGGAGCAGGTGCCAGCACCTCCAATGGGGAATTCCTGGGATAACACCGACTCTGAACATCCTTCCGGAGGACTTGGTTAATGGGGCTCTGGGGCCTCACCTGAGCCCATACATAGTCCGCACAAGCTCATGCATAGGAAATAAGCCAAATGGTCTAAAAATCAATGTGGATGGGGGAGATGTCACAGGGCCCCATCCCTGGATGACGAGCTATGGGCTACTGAGAGAGGGAGAGTCAGTCTTCTCCAGGAATGAGCCCACTGATAGGTCATCCAATCCCAAGTGGTCAGCCCTAAGCACATGTATATGTGAGCAACACCAGATGGGCTTAGCAGGTTCTGTCTGTCTGTTTGTCACAATAACAATCAAAGTTGAGGAGGGCATGGAGGAGTTGGAGGGGGAAGAGTGTGGAGTGGAAATGATATAAAAGTAGTATTCACGAATGTCATTCTAACAATGATAAATGTTAAAGAAAATTAAATATGTACATTGTATTAAAGATACTGTTTGCTATTTTTTAAAAAATCTATGAGAATGACCTGTTAGGGTTGGTGGATGTAAGCAATAAAAAGGCGGACACTTGGAACTGGAATTTCAGGTAGACAACACTGAAAAAATTCAAGCTAGCTGTGGCAGCTTAGGCAGGTTGCTGGAGAGACCCATGGTTATGGTCTGTCTCCAAGAGAGGTGCTGGCACACCCCAACCGAGTTGGGACCAGCCTTCTCTGTGGCAGCAGCAGCTTCAGTGTGGAGGCCTCGTCCTTAGACAAGACTGCAGAGGAAGCCAGCTCATGTCCCCACCCACTGGGTGGCCCAGGCAGCCATGACTACCTCCAGCTGTTCCTCCGTGGTTTTCCTTAGCGCTTCCTCAAAGCGCTGGGCTCTGTCCCGCAGAGACTGGCTCTGAAAAGTCAGCGTGTCCACCTGGTCCTGCAAATGACAAAAAGAGATGTTCCCCCAGGGGCCACATGGATGGACACTGTGGGCTGGACAGCCAGGGGGTGGATGTGCCAGTTAGCTTTCATCAACTTGACACAAGTTGGGAAGGGAGACTTTCAATTGAATTGCTTCCATCGGATTGTCTGTGTGGTATTTCCTCCAGTAATGATTAATGTGGGCGGGCCCAGCCCATTGTGGGCGGAGCCATCGCTAAGCAGTTGGTCCTGGGCTGTATAACAAAGGCCCCTGAGCAAGCCAGTACAGCAGTACTCTGTGGTCTCTGCATCAGTTCCCACCTCCAGGTTTCTGCCTTGAGTTCCTGTCTTGGCTTCCCTCAGTGATAAGCTGTAACCTGTCAGCCAAATAAATCCTTTCCTCCCAAGTTGCTTTGGGTCAGTGTTTTATCACAGAGAAGCAAACATGGGAGAGATTCACTGCTGACCCCTAACTGATCTTTCTGACCTCAGGCAGGGCTGCTTTATGAGGGGGGCACCCATTCTGGTCCAGCTTAAGTCTCTCCCCACTAGGCCAGCAGCCCTGCCTTGTGGCAGCAGCCTGTGTGTGCTGAAGGAATGAAGGCGTGCCCACGGTGCATTCGGCTCTTGTTCATGGCTTCAGATCAAATGTGGCTGAGGAGGAGACCCTCTCGCCTAACCTCAGCCGCAGTGAAGGTGATGTCACCACAGCACAAGGAGGGTGCTTGCCAGTGACTCTGAGCTCCCCAAGACTAAAGAGTGCCTCTTCCTCGGCAGATCACTCACTGAGGAACTCACAGGTCTCCTCAATGGCTCCATTTCTGCTGGATTAAAACACAGGGGCCAAGGGGTTCTCAAGCACTCCTCTGGCAGGAGACTCCGCCTCCAACAGTGATCAGGAGCTGGGACTTGTAAATAAGGTGACTTAGCACACCAACCCCACGCATGCACCAGCCTGAGTGTGCCAGCCCCCAGGGCTACTTTTTTCATTCATCATGGCAGATAGCCTTGGTTTTCAAATTGCTCTGGGCAGGTTCATTTCCCTCTCTTCCAGTTTCTTGCCTGTCATTTTTAAGAAACAAAAGTCCCCATATTGCCGTTAAATGCACATGGGGGCGATATAGCTGCCACTGGGAGTTTGTGCTCACATGAGCTAAGGAGTGGAAATGTCAGTTTTGAAAAGGCCCCTCTGGGCCAGCACTGGGCTATGCCACCACTGCCTTCACCTTCCAGAATGTGATATAAAACGTCTCCCACATCACACTTCTCAGGAGTTACTTAAGGAGCTCTCTCTCTCTCTCTCTCTCTCTCTCTCTCTCTCATTTTTTCAAGACAAGGTTTCTCTGTGTTGCCCTGGCTGTCCTAGATCTCACTTTCCAGATGAGGCTGGTCTCGAACTCACATAGCTCCATGGACCTCTGCCTCCCAGAGCTGGAATTAAAGGTGTGTGCCACCACTGTCCGCAGGAAGTAACTCTTGTAAGCCTCTTTCCCACCATTAAAAACCAAAAAAACCCAAAAGTCTAAACAATCACTACCCAGGATGGATCTCAACCATCCAAGCGATATCTTTCTGCCTTGTTCACTATTCTAAGCAGACCTGCAGGGATGGAAGGCCTCTGCAGCAGTCAAGACAGGATGGGATGGTTTTCAGCCGGTGTTGGCTACTTTATATCATTCTGTCCGTGTGACTAATAATAAGCATGGGACTGCTGGGGCTGCCTGTAGCAGCTGCTTCTCCTCCTTGGCTCTCACTACAAACTAGTCCAGTTTTGTTGTGCCTCACATCTTGCTTTCCTCCATCTGCTTCTGTCTTGAGAAAGTTACTTTGCCCCCATTTCACAGGTAAAGAACTGAGGTTGGCAGAGTGTGCATCATTGTACCAGATCTAGAGCCAGTAAGAACTGCCAGAGTGGAGATTTGAATCTCCAACTGCCCAAACTAGCAGTTTCTCTGGCTGTGTTTTAGCGAGTCTATCTTTCACACACCAACATCTGGCTCAAAAAGTTTCTGCTGCGTGGACAGTTACAGAATTGCATGGCCTTTGGGTGCCGGGGTAGAAAGGACTCAGTGACATGCTAGACAAGCACTCTGCTGTTGAGTTTGCACCCCAGAACACGTTTTCTGCAGTGTTCTCTCTGTGACCCTGGACTCTTTCCTTGTGGGATGGGCTTATTGTGACAGAGACATCACCAAAGAAGCAAGACTCTTGCACACACATTATAGTCATGGGGACACCCTTCCCAGTTTCCAGACACGAGTGACTGACATTTGAAAAGTCATCATCTCTAATCAAGATCTCTCCAGCTGGGATCAGGGCTGGGCTGTCCCATTGCTGTGGCTTCCCAGGCTCTAACGCTGGGACTGTTGCTGCCCTTTCAAAGGCAGCTGGCTGGTCTCTAGGTGGCAGGAGGGATGCACATGCCTGGGTGACTCCACACTCCTTCTCAAGGCCAGGAGGAAGCCAGGCAGCTCAGCTGCCATGAGACCAACACCTTCCCTCTGGTGACAGCGAAAGGCAATGAGGGTGTTTTCTATCCTGCCCATCTCCAGGCAACCCAAGTCCCTCTTAAAATGCCCAGGGTGTGGTCGACCAATTTCCACCTTTGCAACATCACTCTTGTCTAGAACTTTCTCTTCCCACCTCCACCCCGCTTTTTAGGCACCTCTGACACAGTGAATGCCCATTATCTTCATTTAGTATCCTCTGACTGCATTATTCATGAGGCACAAGGGGCTTCTTGGTACGTTTACAGTTTCCCCACAGCTCTGTCAGGACAGGGGATACGTTTGCTTTATATTCCAGTACACAGCAGGTGTCAAACAAATGCTTGCAAGTGAGATAATGCTGTGGTTGTTCATCAGCTTCAGGAAACACTAACCTGTAACGACAGCCGCAGTTTTTCAAAGTTTTCTTCCAATTCCTTCTTCTCAAATTCATGGGTGGCCATCAGTTCTGGAAAGAAGAAATCGAATCGCTTTTGAAAAGCGTGAAACAAAGCTGTTGGGCAGATGTGACTTGGGGGACACCAAGGACGGACGGCCACAGCAGACTCAAGGTTTCCTCTGCTCATTTGAAGTTGACCATGGCGATCCAAATGTGTCTTATGGGATAAAGGAAGAAGTGAGTGGGAGGAAGAGAGAGGGGGAGGACAAGGAAGGAAAGAGGGAGAGAAAGCAGACACAAGTGCGGGTCTGTTGCACCCACACGCATGCGCGACCCGAACTTGCGTCTGCTGCACCATCCTGGCCACGTGAGAGCCTTTGTCAACAGCACCAGCTGAATGCCCCACCTTTGCTAATGGTGAAACTGGTGATTTTCTTTCGTTCCCGGGATTTGCCCTCCCGGCTTCAAAGCATCCATGTCAGGCTTTCCAAGCAGGGTTCTACCGAAGAAGACCTCTTGCCAACCGTGCTTGATGCCGAGTTCACGTGAGGAATCAGTGCTGTGTCAACAGGACATCTGGTGGCTTCTGGGCCACACACACTCTGTGGACTAGGGGATTTGCTTGAATAAAGACTGGTTATAAGACACTGGGCCTGAAGGAAAGGTTGAATGCTCTGTCTCTCTGGGTGGGGAGGGGGGATAACCCTGCTCCGTGTGAAGCCAAATCCAGGCAGTAACTTACAGGTTATGCCGGTGAAGGTGGCCTAGGAGGTGGATGTCAAGCAAATGTATTCTGTCCCCTCCAGATAGGAAAGTCTTAGCAGATGGGTGAGGCTCATCTCACCCTGGCTAGACCAGCAATTTGTTTTCCTGGTGTCATAGACGGGTGATGGGCTCCCTAATCCGCCTAGATCCTGTTCTTGGAACGAGAGAGTCCTGGGTACTAACAATTACCATTTGGGCAGCCGAGAACTGTAATTATGAAAATGTGTGTGGTTTCCATCAGCTCAGATCTTTAACTATGGTGACCAGGGCTGTCAAGAATTGAGTTTTCATAACCAAAGTTTTCATCTCTGGAAAAGTAAAATTTGTGTGGATTTCACTGACTTTATTTTTTATACTTATTGTATTTTGTGTGTGTTTGCTCACATGTATGTATGTGTACCATGTGTGTGCCTGGTGCCCAGGGAGGTTCAAAGGTCAGCTTCAGTGCCCACTCTGCTGGAGTGAAGGTCTTGTGTGTACTACAGTTGGATTTTGAATGTCCCTCCAAGGTCCACCCGTGAAAGAGGTCTTGGTGGTAGACCCATTAAGAAGTGACATCTTATGCGAGCTCTGCCCACTCTGCCCCTCTCCATGATCTCTTTTGCCTGTTAGGTGGCTTAGCTCCAGGACCTGTTTTTTCTGTGACATACTGCCTCACTGTGACCCATAGCAACAGAGCTGACTCATCACAGATCAGAATGTCAGAAACAGTTTACAAATGGTTTCAAGTATGCTCTTACCGTAAAGTAAGGCTGACTAACAAAGTGTGTGTAAGAGCGTGGTCACATCACACACAGGAGGCCAAAGAGACTGCTGTCCCCATTCCTTTTGAGGCTACATCCCTAATGACCTAAGGATTTCTTGCTAGGCTCTCTCTCTCAAAGACTCCATGGCTTCTTATCTTGTCACAATGGGGAACAAGCCTCTGGCACATAAGCCCATCAGGAGTCACAAGTCACAATTAAACCACTGTACAAAGATAATTAAGTTCCCAAATGAGGACAGTAAGAATCTAAAGACTTAAATTTGCTTCATGCTGAGTGTGAACAAGGGGTAAGAACTCTAGAGATGCCAACATTGCTAAGAGCACCATACGGGCACTTAGTCTCATCAGACTATATGCAGGATAAGGCCCAAGTTGTCTATGCCTACTAGAAGGATGGCCCCTAATGATGACTCCACCTTGAGTTACCCAAGGAGCTGTAAAAAAAATCTCATACTTGCTGGGCAGTGGTGTCACACGCCTTTAATCCCAGTACTTGGAAAGCAGAGCAGGCAGATCTATGTTAGTTTGAGGTCAGCCTGGTTTACAGCGTGAGTTCCAGGACAGGCTCCAAAGCTACACAGAGAAATTCTGTCTAAAAAACAAAACAAACAAACAAACAAACAAAAAAACCACCACCACCACCAACAAAAATCTCATACCCTCATTGAATGTGGAATTCAGGCTGGTAAGAATCTCAAGGGAATTTGACATTCCCTCAAGGTTTACATAACTCATTTGGAGGAGAGAAATAGTTGCCTGGGTTCATACGTTTTAGACATGGGCCTGGGGATAGAACCCAGGGTCTACTGCATGCTAGCCAAGCTCCCCCAGTCCCACATGAAGTCTTGCTTTCTATTTCCTCTTCTCTCAGGAATGAACACAGGCTGCAGCAGAAAGATAAAAGGACAGAAATGAAGGAGAGGAGGGATCCTTTGCTCTGTCCCCAGACAGGTTCAGATTGCCCATTGGCCCGCTGCACACAGACTCGTAGATACCTTGAACTTTGTGGTCGTGGTCATCCTGCAGGATCGTGATGGCAACTGTGTGGTTGTTTTCCATCTCCAGCAGAGCAGCCTCATGGCTGGCAGTGATGTCTTCCACCTGAAGGAAAGGCATGCTTATTGGTTATCCAGGGAGCTGGGCTGGCTGTCGGGAATATCTTTGCTGCTTGGAAAACATAGGTGCAACTCAATAAGAAGAAAAAGTCAGTTGTCCTGCCAAAGATAAGTTATGCCACTGAGATGATTGACTCTCCCAGTCTAGCACCAAAGTGAAGTCAATATTTGTGGTGAGGTGACATTTCCTGGAGTCACTGCCACAACCTAGCTCATTGCAGAAAGATAGAAGTTCAACTCAGCCAGGTGGTTGTGGTACATATTTTCAGTCCCAGGACTTGGGAAGCAGAGGCAGGCAGAGCTCTATGAATTCAAGACCAACATGGTCTACAGAGCTAGTTCCAGGACAGCGAAGGCTACACAAAACAAAGCAAAACAAACAAACAAACAAACAAACAAAACAATGAAGTTCTACTCAGGAAGGACTGTCCTGTCACCTCTGTAGACTCCTGGACCAATCCATCACATGCTCTTCCTTCACCCTTCAAGGAGGTGGTGGGGCCAGAAAAACAGTCCTCCATCCTCTTCTCAAGTTTGCCTAGTGTCAGGTGAGTGGGAACTGTTGTCCCCTAAGCTCTCAGAGTCTACCCGACTCCACTTTTATGAGGCATGCATTTTACACCCATTTTGCAGATGATGAAACCAAGGCTTAGGTTTAACATGTTTCACCCAAGAACTAGTAAGTGGCAGGGATAAGCAAGTGCTTCCAGCTCTGTCTGATCCAAGTGATACTGCTCTCTCAAACACACACAGTGACAGCCTCCTCTCCAGGAACCACCAGCAAGTGACATGTTAGGACCCCCTCCCCAGTTCCCAGGTGAGGCCAGTAGGCTCACACATGTCCTCTTCACCAAGATCCTAAGCCTAAGTTTGCCTTCCAGATGGCCACCTGCTGGGCCTCCCTGCCGACCAGACAACTCGGGGCTGCTCCTGTGAAGGGTTTCCCACTCTCTGCTTGCAGGTATATTTCCAGGAGTTTAATCCCAAGTGTGCCGCCCACCCCATATGTTTTTTGTCTTCACTTTTGTTTTCAGTGCTGGTGACTAAACCCAGGGCCCAGGGCCTTGCACAGGCGAGGCAACCACTCTGTCAAAGAGCAACACAGCCAGCCTCATTTTCATACTTTCTGGTTCCCCTCTCCAAAGATTGTTCTGCCTACAGTGTTTACCCTTTTGTTTGTTTATTTGGTTTGGTTTTCATATCTTTATTGGGATCAACAAGCTCCATCAGTGGGATTATTGATAGATTCTTCAGTCATTCCAGGCTTGGATTCTAAGAGTCCTGGGAGTGGCTGGGCACGTCCAGCATGTTCCCATTATTCTGCATAGGCCCTGAGCAGTTGTAGGGTGTGACTAGACTGATCATGGTGTCATACTTGATGTAGGGGCTAAGTTGAAGCATAATTATAGCTTATACTGGATTAGAAAGCATAAAGCTATATTGATCCTGATGATGTCTGGACAGTGAGGCTCTCCAGAAATGAGATTTGTTAATTCTTATTTATAATGACAAAATAAAATTAGTTATTTTTGTATCACTGCAACCACACACCCCAAAGGCAGACTAAGAAGAGCTTCTACCTGTTTCACAATCATGCTTGTAAATGGCTCTTCTTGATCCACCATTACCTTCAACCTGCTTACTGTTTTTAAAAATTATTTTGGTCACTGTTTAAACTTCAGTTCAGGATACCCTCTCCCCATGATAACAAGCCTCTCCGACATATAATACATGTGCAATGTTTATCCATTGTCAATGATCTCTCATATTTCCACTGCACACTGTAACAGTATATTACACACTTACGTATACATATACATACCCCTTCACATCCAAAACCAGTTTAACAATGACAACGTCAATAAAACCCAAAAACAAACCAAACAGAAACTTGAAGAGAGATGGAACAAAAAGCCTTTTTTGCTTCATGTTTATTTCTTGACCTACAATTGTGTCGAAACCTGATATTTTAAAACCACAAATCCAAATAAATATGTCTAGGTTCTCAAGTTCTTTGGTGGGCCCATTCAGGACACATTGCTTCTAGCTGTCAATATTTGGCCACCTCTGGGGAAATCTCATTTCTCTGGAATAATTCACATAGTTTCTTCTGTTATATGGAGGGAAGACATGTTCGCTACAATAAAAGAAGCCTGTTTTAATCAACACCTGTGAGTGGGTGGGGTAGGCACAGGTACAATACCTGATGAGGCCAGCAGAGGGCATCAGAACCTCTAGAGCAGCTGTTTGTGAGCTGAGAACTGAACCTGGGTCCTCTGGAAGAGCAGTCAGTGCTCTTCACCACTACGTATCTCTCCAGTCCCCAGAGTGTTTCTATTTAAAAACTTTACCACTCAGACTGTTCATTGTGTGATCCTACAGCTGACAGAGACAACTCAGAGGAAAATTTTTTTCTCACTATTTCAGAGGGTATAGTCTACAACTAGTCGGTTCATGAGCTTGGGCAGAACCACATGGCAGCAAGGGTTTGTGGGGAAGAAAGTTCATCACCTCACAGTGGACAGGAAGCAGGGGGAAAGGAAGAGGCCTTTAAAAACATGCACTGTGTCCTACTTCCTCTAGCTGGACTCCAACCACTAAAGTTTCTACCATGGCTCTCTCTTATTTAGTTAGCTATTTATATTATGCGTATGGGTGTTTGCCTGCATCTATGTCTGCATGCCATGTGCATGCAGTGCCTAAGGAGGCCAGAAGAGGTCATCAGACACCATGGAACTGGAGTTACAGACTGCAAGGAGCCCCCATGTGGGTGCTGGCAACTCAACCCAGGTTCTCTGGAAAAACAGCAAGTGCTCTTAACCACTAAGTCATCTCTCCAAGTTATTTTACTTTTATTAGTGTATATGTGCTCATGTCTGTGTGTGGGTATATGTAGAAGGCATTAGATTCCCTGGATCTGGAGTTACAGATGTTGTGAGCTGCCTGATGTGGGTACTAGGAATGGAACTCTGGTCCTGTATAAGAGCAACCAGCTCTCTTAAGCACTGAGAATCTCTCTAGTCCCTTCCATCACTTCTGAAAATAGCTGCATCAGATGCAATCAAGTGTTTGACACAGAAGGCACTGGGGGACATTTCACAGTCCAACAATATTGACAATGAGTGGATTTCCACTTGGAATAATGTAATTTCGTGGGGATCTTTACCTTTAACTTAACTCCCACAACATCCCTCTCTGGTGTTAGGGAACAAATCATCTTTGTTTATGCTAGACTCTATCACAGTGGTTCTCAACCTTCAATACAGTTCCTCAGACCCATCCATAAAACTATTGTGGCTACCTCATAACTATAATTTTGTTACTGTTAGAATCATAATGTAAATACCTAATATGCTGGGTATCTGATATGAGATTGTCCAAAGGGGTTTAGACCCATGGATTGAGAACTGTTTCTCTAGCAACATGCAACCTTCCTAGGATAGTCTCTCTCTCTCTCTCTCTCTCTCTCTCTCTCTCTCTCTCTCTCTCTCTCTCTCTCTCTCTCTCTCTCTCCCTTTCTGTCTTTCCATCTCTCTCATGAATTGTCATCTTTTAAAACAGGAAAACCACTGAACAGAGACAATAAGGAGCCCACAGCAACCTCTCAGTGCTAACACGGACATGGAAGCCATGCCACTGTGTTGACTGGTCATTCTGATTAAAGTGAACTGGGCCTCAACTCACTTGTGGCTCTGTACTATGAATGCACTCAATGGAAGTGATGGATAGAACAGTGTTTTACCACTCAGTTATGAGTACACGGCTCTAATGGAGTTTTTGTCTGAAACCTTTCAGTATAAAGGAAAATAAACAATTGGTTGAAATGAAAAGGGGCTAGAGAGATGGCTTGGTGTTAAGAGCACTTCTTGTTCTTGCAAAGAACTTTGGTTCGTTGTCCAGCACCCATACCAGGCAGTTCACAACGGTCTACAATGTCAGTTCCAGGGGACCAGAGCCCTCTTCTGGTTTCTGTGGGTATTTGTATGCACAACACTGCACATAAATATACTTAGGCACACACACACACACACACATATTAAATCTTAAAAAAAGAAAAACATCTTTCCTTTTTATTCCACTAAAAATGTCAGTTAAGTGCACAGATCTCTCTGTAAAAATAAGCACCATGTATTATCTAGAGGCATGGTACTTACACAGCCCAATGTAATAAAAAAAATCTTTCACCAGCACTTGGTAGGACTCTATTAGTCTCTTACACAGATTTCTATAAGGAGTTTCAGAAAAGAATGATAGAGGTGAAGATGAGATCCAGAAGAATCCATGTGTTCCTGTAGTAAACACAGCTCAACTGGCAATAGTCCATTATGTCCACAGCCAAGGTGTATGCTTTGGTGTGTTAGTGAATGTCTTGGCCTGTTAAACACCATATCTATGATTTAGTGCTGAGTGAATACCACCATCAATACAGTAAGGACATTGTAAAGGCATGCTATGCCCCTTTCAGCCTCTGGGAGATGCTTTTATGAATGAAACATTGACCTCCTAACTCCAATGAGTCATGGAATTAAAGGAAAAAAATCAGTCTCTTCACAAAGGTATCAGTGGGAGCCTGTGAGGTTCCAGTTGAGCAAACACTTACTCTTAAATGATTTAGGTTTCATGTCTCTCTATGATTTTAAGGACCCTCCCCTTGGGTAGGAAAGGGTGCTGCCTACTGTCTGGGGCATCCTCTCTCCTGCCAGCTATTAACCTTCATGGTTTCTCTTGCTATGGTACCAAGTTCCTCAGAGCAAGGGCTCCCAGTCATAAAGAAACCAGTAAGAATGTTCAACTTGAGAAGACATCAAAACCCACTGAAGACATCTACATGAATCTAGACCAGTTTTCCCAAAGCAAAAGATGATTTAATGTATTATAAATGACAAGATCAGAGGAAAAGGTTTTCTTCTGTTGCCAGCCCATGGCAAGCATAGTGATTTGAAAGAGAACTGTCTCCCATACGCTCACATACCTGAATGCTTAGTCCTGGAGGTTGTGTTTGGGGAGGTTTATGTGGTGGAGCCCTGCTGGAGGAAGTCTGTCTATCACTGGGGGTGGGTTTTAGAGTTTACAGCTTTGTGTCATTTCTGGGTCACCCTCTGTTTCCTGTTCACAGTTGCAGATATGAGCTCTCAGCTGCCTCTCCTGCCATCTAGCCTACTGATTGTGGCCATGCCTGCCCTGCCTCGATAGACTCTTACCCCCTGGAACTGTTAGCCAAAATAAGCTGTCTTCCATAATCTGTTTTTTTTTTTGTTTTGTTTTGTTTTGTTTTTGTCATGGCGTTTCATCACAGCAACAGAAAATTAGCTAACATAGAAAGCTTCTGCTGCCCGAAGAGCTCTCTTATTTGACTAGAACCTAGGGTAGCATCCCCTTAGACCACTACTGTCTACCTTCTGGCCGCTCCACAAAGATGGGATTCTGGGCTCTTCCGTGGAGGAGGCACCAGTTCGCCCTCCAAACATCCCTAGTTCTTTGGAGAAATGGCTATACCCTGTAACGGGACTCCATTCTAGAGCCATTTTTTTTTTTTGGTTTTTACGAGACAGGGCTTCTCTGTATTGTTTCAGAGGCTATCGGTCCAGTCCGGCCTCGAACTCACAAAGATCCGCCTGCCTCTGCTTCCCGAGTGCTGGGATTAAAGGCGTGCGCCACCACCGCCCGGCTCTAGAGTCATCTTGCTGCTGAGCGGGGCTGGGTGCAGAAGCAGCAAGAGAGGAAAGCTGTCACCTCAGACAAGGATGGAGGTGTGGGCTTTACATTCAGTCGCATGCCAGAGGCAGTTAACTGGGGCCTTGGGATTCACTTAGAGAAGATGTATTTTGAATGGAGCATCACGTGCTCTCGCTTTCTCATTAAACTCAAACCAGACTAAACTCCCTTTTGCCCCCTTCCCAGACAGCGTCCTCATTAGAGGAGCCAGAGGGAGCCAGCCTGTGCAGACTGAAGCACCTGCCTGCGAGCCTCCAACAACCAGGAGCCCATCCCCCTACTTCACCCTGCCGGTCGGTCTCCTAGACACCAGCCCAGAGCAGGTAGGTAGCAGGCTGTGTTGGAGGTTTCAGGCTGACTCCATCTGGTTCCCAAAGTGGTTTTCTCTTCAACCTGAAGGGCAGGTGTCCACGAGAGCCCCGTCTCCCCGGCACCACCTCTTCCGAGCACAGGGTCTCCTGTGCCAGACCGTGAGGCCCTGGGGCCTCATTCTGTTTGTGGAGTGTCTTCTCCTGGGGTAGGGGGCAGATGTGGCTGGCTGGGTAGGTGGGTTAAGGAGACATAACACAAAGCGATAGGCTGAGTGGTCTCTACCTGTTCAAAGTCCTCATGGGGTGCTGTTCCTGCCATTCACCCACCACGCACAAGAATGAGTTTGTAAAGAAAATGGAAGAGGGGGTTTGGCGAGATGAGTTAATGAGCATTGATGAGCAATGCACTCTTGAAGAAGATGAGCGACTTCTGCTCACGCTTCAGGCAACAGAGTTCTGGTGGCTTATTTATCTGTGGGACTATGTCTTCTTACCTCTAGTGGGGATAGAAATAGCCATCGGGTAGGATGATGGGGTCAGTGTACATCAAGTGGTGGAAGTAGTGCTCTACGTACATGTTTGCGTTGCACCTCTGCCACAAAGAATCCGCGGAGAACAGATGACCAATAAGGGACAAGTGTAAAACTGCAATCTTAGGTAAGTTCTCCTCCCATGACTGCTGCTGAGCTGCCTAGTCAACTCACCTGCTCCTGGTGCTGGCAGCGCATGCGCAGCAGCTGGTCCTGGTGCTCCGCCTGCAGGTGCGCGCTCTCCGCCTGGAACTGTTGTTGGAGCCGCTCCTGCAGCTCCTGCACCTCGGCCTGCTGCTGCCAGCCCAGCCTCCTCAGCTCCTCCTCGAACCGCCTCTCCAGCGCCTCCTTCTCCTTCTGCAGTTTCTCACACTTGGCGGTGTTGAAGGCTGCAGGGAGCACGGAGTTCTTTAGCACAGTGGGGAGCAGCGATGACCCACCACGAGCCCACCTGAGCCTTTCAGACATAAAGCTGAAGCATGAACCGCTGGGCCGGCAATGTAACTCAGCAGTAGGGTGCCTGGCTCAGCATGCACGAGGCCCCGATTTCCACACCCAACACCAAAAACAGATTCAAAAAGTAAACAACTAAAAAAATGCGTGGTGGCTGGTGGCGAACACATTTAATTCTAGCGCCCTAGCATTTAACCCTAGCTCCCTGGAGGCAGAGGCAGGGGATCTTTGTGAGTTCGAGGTCAGCCTGGTCTACATAGCAAGCTCCAGGTCATCCAGAGCTACACAGTGAGGCTCTGTCTCAAAAATAAGTAACTAGATAAATAAATAAACCACAACATCTCAAAACCTAGTTTAGCACAATATATTATCACAAAAGACTCTCTTCCTCTGAACCCTCTGAGAAATAAGATGCCTCTTGGCGACCCCACTATGCCCCAATTCCCTAGCGTGCATGCCCTACTTACCCACAAGGCCAGCACACTCAGGAGACCCGTGACACAATGGTGCCACCCAGTGCTCAGAACTGTTGAAATCTACCCAGTCAAGGCTCAGTGTTTTTCTACTGATACAGCTTGCTCCCCCTCAGACAATTGTTTCTGAGACTTGCTGGTACAGATTATAGTACAGAAAACTCAACAAGTATGTTCACCCATGTGCCTGGTCACTTTTCATTAGGATGAGCTCTCAGGAGTGGAAGTTACAAGGCTTTAAAGACTATGGGTGTCATCATCCAGGGTTGCAGCTTTCTCTAAGTTTCATAGTTAGCTGGTAATAAACCTGTGGCTACTAGGGGGCGGTATAGCACCTGAAACATGCTGGGGGGGGGTGACGACACTTGTCCCGAATGACTTACTTTCTTCCTAAATTCTCCTTCTTGCTGAAAATGTTAGGAGGACAGATAAAAGGAGTGGCTAAAAATGAACTCACAGAGGGAGAATAAGTCAGAGAGCCACCAGCCTGCCTGCTGCGTTTGTAGAGACGCGCTACTCCCAGGGCGTGGGGGCTTCGTGAAAGCAGGCTCACGCTAAATAGGAGCTGGCATCTATACCCTTGCCTTATCTAGACGGCCCTACCAGGTGTCTAGTAGGCAGCCTGCACCCCATCTGCAAAGAGCAGGAAGTGGAACTAACTAGTCCAAGGTCAAGGCAAGGTCTACCGCAGAGCCAGGAGCATGGGCAGCCTCCCTGGAGTTCAGGTAAACAGAGATGCAAGAGATGCAAGTTCGGTCCTCATGTGGGCATTCATTAGCCTATGAATCCATGAATGATTTATGCGTGTAATGCTTGGTCCTCACTGGACTCCCATCCTCCCACCTGAACACGCAAAGGCCCTGGGGCAGGCACAGTTCTGGTCTAAGGAACAGAAAGTCCACTGCTGGAGCGCCAACACCCTCAGAGGAGGGAAGTCAAGTTCTCAAGTTCTAGGCAGAGGTGCATCGTGCTGCACCTGCCGTTACACTATGGCTTTCTGGTTATGTTCCTGTGACAGTTTCAGGCTCCCAGAGTCTCAGAGAGGGAAGATATAATGATTTTCATCCTGATACCTGCATGGAAAATGACTTGTGAGACGAGGAGAGTTCAGGGGATGTCTGGAGTTCAGACACTGAGCTTAACGGTGCCTTGGATGACTCGATTGAGGGATGAAGCATGCGGAGGGATGGGTAGATGAGGGGTGGATGAGGAGGTGAGGGAGACCTGATCTGGTACAGAGATGAGGGCTGGGCAAAAATCGAGAAAGACCCAGTGGTTGGTCTGAGCAGTGAAACATGGTGGCGCTCTTCAGGGAGATGGGAACATCGAAGGAGTCCCACTAGGGACACTTATAAGCCTTCTCAGAACTGTTTAGGTCTCTTGTGCATTTAGGGGTCTGCTGTGGTCCATTGATCTAAGGAAAAGCCTCTCTGGCTTTTAGGACATAGATGCTGTCAATTGGCATGAAAAAAAAAAAAAAACAACTGAGGCCTTCTGGGCTTCGAGAAGTCCCAAGCCACCATGTTCAGGTTCACACCAAGTGGTCTACCTTTTAACAGTGTCAGTTCTTCAGAGCCTGAGGCCTTGGGACAGACTAGAGTTAGCAAGTCTCCTCCAGATTAACACCCCTCTCCAAGGGTCTGTAAAGACACAAGCGATGTGTCCACCACAGAGTGGAGAGAACTCCCTAGCTCCCAGGAGTCTTTGCAATATTGTGACTCTTGAAGGGCAAACTCTGGGTAACAGGGGATGAGAAAGAGTACAGCCAGGAGTGAAAGGGAAGGAGGGCAGTGGACAGAGGCAGTGAGAGCAGGCCATGGCAGAGGCCAGGCTGAAGCAGGAAGCCTGTCCCAGCTGACCACAGGGCTAATGGGATCAACACTAGATACTGGGTTTCTCAAAGTCATCTGGCCTCTCTGAGCTTAATATCAAAGCAGGACATTGGGACATTGGTTACACTGTGCACTTGGCCCTTGCTATGATTTGAATCTGAAACATCTCCCACCGGCTTAGGCTTTGCAAAGCAGTCTCAGTCTAGTGATGTTATTTTGGGAGGCTGCCGAATCTTTAGGAGTGGCAGAGACTGGTCACCAGGTGTCTTTGAAGGTTACATCTGACCTCCACTTCTTGTCTTCACTCTCCACCTCCTTCCTGTTTTAGCATCATGTGCTGGGTCACCCCAGAGAGTAAAGACAGGTGTGCGTGTCGTTTTACTTTACTTATTTAATCCCCCTCGAAACATTTATTTAGATAGTTTGCCTGCATGTATGTCTGTGTGCCTGGTGCCTGCAGAAGTCAGAAGAGGCATCGGATCTCCTAGAAATGGAGTTTCAGGTGGTTGTGAGCTGCCTGCCATGTGGGTGAGTGCTGGGTCCTCTGGAAGAGCAGCTAGTGCTCTTAACTGCTGAACTGTCTTTCCTGGCCTGGGTGTACCATTTTGTGTTTGAATTTCCTACAAATCATACCCCCTAAGGAGCGGAGCTTCAGTCACAGAGAAAAATGTGCTTTTGCACAGAATTACTTGTTTCTCAGTGATGCAAGAAATGAGCAGCGGCAACAGAGGTTGGCATCTGTGTGTGCTTTGTGGTTTGTGCAGTGGTTTTGATGAGGATGTCCTCCTTAGGCTCGGGCATTTGGGCACCTGATCCCCAGCTGGTGGCGCTGTCTGGGGAAATGCTGTGGGATCGTAAGGAGGTGCAGTCTCTGGAGGAAGCAGGTCACTGGAGGGACTCTGAGAGTGCATAGTTTTGCCCCATTTCCAGTTTGTTCTCGTTATAATTGTGGTTGGAGCTGTCATCTCTCAGCTCCCTGCTCCTGCTGCCATGCCTCCCATCATGATGGACTCTTACCCCGGAATCTTAGTTGCCATTGGATTCCATTTATGTGACCGGCATCTCAGAAATGCCCTGTTCCAAAGCGGTATGAGAAAGAGCAGACATTAAGAATCCCAACTGATTTAAAGTCTCTTGATAGTCATACATGCTCTGTGTCACCACAGAATGAGACGGACAAGTCAGTGAACGGATGGTGACTGGTCCCCTGTGGGACAGTAACTGCAGTGTGTCTAAGCTCCGCCCTGGAGGGAGGGGAGGCCACAGGCATGATTTGCAGGCAAAGTAGAAAAGAGGAAAATGATTTGAGATGGTTTAAAGCTTTCGAAAAGAGAAACTGCAGTAACATACCACTCAGACAGGGAATGACCTTCTACAGACGTCTCGGCTTGGAGCCTGCTCCTTTGTTTTGTCCATTTAATTTGGGTATCCAGACTTTGAGAGGTATCTCTACAGCATCGACTTCCACAACTTGCTATGTACATAGCTCACTAGCTTGGGCTTTCTGTGGCCAGACCCTGGAAGGGTTGCTAATGGCTCCACGTGGCCAAAGCACTTGGTTATTTACTACTCTGTTTGTTTCCCTGTGTAAAGTGGCATCAAAGGGTGAACCTTTTCATTTGACCTCAAAGATCTGAGAAGTCCGTAAGTGACCTGGGTTATATCTCCATAGTGAGCATGCCTTTTAGAAAGAGCTTTTGATACAGGACTGAAAACTTTAATTGGTGAACGTTCACTTCCAATCCCATTCTCCAGAGAGAATGGACCCCACAGAGTTCTAGAAAATGACCTCCCGGACCCAATCATTTCCAAAGTCTCACAGATGATAGAGGCCTCACTCTACAATACATCCCCAATATAGTCTTCTATCCCATGGCTCTGGTGGCCCCATTCCTGATTTATACAAGATGGGTGAGGAGACCAAGTAGCTGCTAGCGAGTAAACTAGTGTGTGTTGAAGGTCATGGGTTCCCATTTTTATTCCTTTTCTCAGACCGTTCAGTTCAGTGTATGTCACGGGATTTGGGAAACCCCTCTCTGATATGAGGATTGCTCAGCTATATGACGTGTGTGTGTGTGTGTGTGTGTGTGTGCACGCACTCATGCACAAACACATGTTTACTGTCTTTAGTTTTGCATAGAATGAAGGATTAACATTTTAAAATCTTCGAAGCCCAATTTCACCTGAGAGGCATGCATTTCCCCATCAATTTAGCACGGTGTCCCTGTCAAGGGACAAAGCAGGCCACACAGAACTGTTCCCACTGATCCACTGACCAACATTAGACACACACATACACACACACACACACACACACACACACACACACACAGAACGAGAAAGGTATTCAGGCAACTGACAGTAGCCTGAGTGTGCATGTGTGCACACACGTATGCTGTGTGTAGGCATATATAATGGATTCCTTGTGCGTGTATATGATTTAATATGTATTATTGATTTTCAGAGGTAACTTTTATTTCTAATCATGTATATGTGTGTCTACGTGTGAGTATGGGCATGTGAGCGTGTCAGATCTCCCTGGAGCTGGAGTTACAGCTGGTTGTAAGGCACCACATAGGTCTGGGATCTGCAAGCTCAGTGTGTGTTCTAACAGCTGAGCCATCTCTCCAG